TATATTAAAGATAATGTATTTAAACAACAATGCATATAATAAGTATATCTATTAGTTTTTTTTTTTTTTTTTTTCCTAAAATGATACTAAATACTGAATTATACTCTATATAATTTGTTTCTATTTTCTATTTTCGTATGTCCTACATAATTTGTCCTTTCATATTTTAGAAATATAATTATAGACTTTAATAACATTTTAAATTTTATAATTTTTTAATCTTAAATAAATTATTTAATTATTTTAATTTATAATTATTTTTATTATACAATACGTTTTTTACTAATGCAAGACTTCGTGTACTTTACCTGATTCTCACAAGGGATAAAGGGAACAGTAATCAATAAAATATCAAATATCGAAATTGTAATTTAAAAAATATAAAATTAAAATTGATACAAATATAAATAAAATTCATCAAAATTATAATTTTAATAATATAAAAATTAAAATAAACACAAAAATATGAATAGAAGAGACTGAATAAAAAAAATAATGAATATACTAGTATAAATTTATTGGTACTTTTAAAAGCAAAAATTATTTTTGGTCTTATTCAATATCATAATTATTAATTTTGATCCAATTAATTTTTATTTTTTATCAATTTTGGTTTGAAAATTTATCAATTTTAGTCCCATAATGGTTTTATGGGACCGAACACGGCCGTGTAGACTTGAACACAGCCATTTTAAATGACTCCGAAGGGTGACTGGACGCCCCAGAAAGCCAACACAACCGTGTTGGGCTCAATACGACCATGTTGATTACCCTGCACTGAACACGGCTGTGTTTATATCCCTGTTCATGGTTATGTTCTGGAACACGGTCATATTCTTGTCTGTGTTCATACCTGTCTTTCAGTCATGATCCTGACCATATTCATGACCAATATAACCATGTTTTCACGACCCTATTCTCAACGTGGCTTGTTCGATCCTGCACCCGGAACACTGAGTGCACAGATTGCACCACGTGTCGCAATATGAAAAAGCTAATTTTTTATATTTATTTTTTTTTAATTATTAGTTAATTTGTTTGTATCGGTTTTATTTGGAAAATTTTGTTTTTCCTGTTTTAATTTTTATTTTCTTCGCTTCTGTTTCAATATGGTGCCCCAACTCTTCTGTTCCAAATCGGTGAGGAATGCACTGCAGTTTTCCATCTTTGCCAGTAGGTTGCTGTTCTAATTGTTCAGTTGTATATTTCTCTCAATTTCACAAGGGTTTGTTCCACCCTTGGTGCGGCAAACGGCTTTTGCTCCAACAGGTAAAAAAACACAGACAATACAATCGTTGTTCTACCGTGGAACCATTGCCGGTCTTCCATCTTTGCCAGCAGCTGCTACCCTAATCGTTCGAGCTTCAGGATTTTTCAATTGGAAAGGCTTTCTCTGTTTTTTTTTTTTTATATTATTATTATTATTCCAATTGATTCTTCTTCGTACAAGATTTTGCATTTCTAACGGTGGATTCTTTGGTATAAAAATTGTTGCAAAGCATTGACATTGTTTTGTATATACTTTTATCATAATAAATGAATAGAATTCTGATGGAATTCATATGGTGGATAATCATGATTTTGATTGTTTTGTGGGATTAGTATTACAATTGGTTGATGAATTAAACTTACAAAATTCTTCTCTTGGGTTATATTTGTTTGTATGACAGAAGTATCAATTGATTTGGTATTTGATTTGTTTGGATTCTTTTATACACTACTTATCATATAGCAAATTTGTCAATCAAATTTGATGCAATTGTCTATTTTACTTGTCAAACAACAACATACAAACTTTGTGAAATGTAGGCACTTAAATACCAATAATTTTTTTAGCAGGACTGTGCAATTAGTTTACTGCATAATATGAATATTTAAAAAGAATATAAGAAAATGTCTGCTCAATTTATATAAATAATTTCATCAAGATTAATTATATATATAATAGAATTGTGCAACTAATAACAACACCAATCATCCTATAACAACATAAGAATTAGAAAAATTATGACATTAACAACAACAAGAATCATCTAAACAACAATAATAGAAGGAAAACAGTACTAGAAGCAACAAGAAAAAAGAGAAACAGAAGCCTACATAAACAAAATCAATTAACAATAGAATAAACTCATAAGTAAAATGTGTAATAGCACAAACAAATAACAATAGGACAAGTAGCAGAAGCAACCAACAATAGGCATGAATCAATAGCAGAAGTGTGTAGCAGCAACAGTAGCAGAAGTAGAAACAACTGACAATTGCAGCAGTAGCAAAAGCATGCAATAATAGAAACACCATTAGCAGAATCGTGTAACAGCAGCAGAAGCAACAAACAATAAACGAGAACCAATAGCAGAAGCGTGTAGCATAAACATAAATAATTGACAATTGCAGCAGTAGCAAAAGCATGCAACAACAGAAATTTCCAACCCAAGTCATAAGTATCAATTCCTCAAGTCTTCTCGTACGCCTGAGAACTTTGAGCTTTTTTTTTTGTACTGTTTGAAATTGCTAACTCCTCTTGGCTTAATGTAAAGAGGATTATGAACATTTTCTTCACTATTTTTGCAACTACCAATATTTGAAGCTTCACTTGTATAATTTCAGGCTGACAACCATCTTTATGCACTTTTTAATTCATCAACACCCTCAAGCCTATCTCTCACTAAATTTCTAGTCTCCGGGTAGGCTTTACTTTGTATACAAATATCTTGACATCTCATTATATGGTTAACATATACCGTTTCCGATTTAAAATCATTTTTAAATGCATTTTCTCATCTATATTGCATTTTATTACTCACATGTATAGTCCACCGTTTCTTTATATATTGTAATGGTATATCATGAACATTCATTTGTTTAAAAACTAATAACGAATGCTTACATAATATACCAACTGACTCATAATATTGACACGAGAACTTTATATCATTATATACCGCATCAAATTTAACCTTGTGTAGCCGATTTGTATTTTGAGATCGTATATTGAACTCAAAAAATGTATTGTAATTAGCAGGTTGCCCATCAAAATCAATAGATAGAGAATTTAATAAATGTAGCTGGAACATATCATATATTTTGTGAGTATAAATTGATGCAACTTGTTTTAACAATGAGTTATGAACAACCAGTGTAGGTGCTTCTTGGCTACATTTGAAATCATCTTCATTTTCATCATGTCGCTACTTATTTTGAATTTTATCAAATATTTGTACGCATTAAAAAAGAGTATGTGTTTTTTAACCTCATTTTTTTAAAAACAGAATTTGTGCCTTCACTTCTTAAAGTAGCTTTTAATCCCGCATTAAATCTATGATTACTAAATGCAGTAGACCATTTATGTTGTAATTTATACATGTTATTAAGCTATGAATGATCATGAAGATTATAATCAACAATCATTTTCTGCCACACTTTTTCAAATTCTTGCTCAGACTCACAAAATTTTATGCATTTATTAAAAAAAAATTATTATTTAAAACACCAAAATGAGATGGAACATTTTGATTAATATGCCATTGGCATAATCGATGATGTGCTAACGGAAAACAAACTCACTGGCATTAATTATAGCTTGACATTGATCTGAAAAAGTTATTTACCACTCATGGATGTAAGAAATATACTAAACAACCAATGAAAAGAAGAGTCAGTTTCATCCGACATAAAAACTAATAATCCAAACATCACATTATGCATATGATGATTTATGCCTACGAAAAATGCACATATTAAATTATATTTTTTTGTTCGATAAGTGCTATCAATCGAAAGCACATCACCAAATGTCTCATAATCTATCTACAAAGACCATCTCAAAAGAAAAATTTACACATCCTACCATTGTCATCAACTTGAAAATTCCAATAAAATAATCTATCTTCATTTGATTTTTGTTTAAAATACAGAATTAGCTCTGAAGCATCATCCAATTCGAATTTCTAATTTTCGGTAATTAAATTGGTTATTTTTATCAATATATTTTCTATCTTTCATCTCATTGTAAGAACAAGCAAATTCTTTCATATATAACTCTTTTATATTATCATGAAAAAAACTCTTGTTTTCAACACTAAAACCCTTACAATGTCTATATTTACAATAACTTATGCATTTGCAGGATCACTTATAATTTCTTCAACTGCAATTATTTTTCAAATTCAACGACTATGGAATCATTATGAACCAGAATTTATAGATGTAACATCCTGCAGGTTGTTATTTGCTTCAAGTACTTCTTTATTTCAATCTTAAGAACATTTTAAAAAAAATAATAATATTAAAACTACATAAAAAATCATTCTCAATAGCATGTGAATCGTCAGTCACTTCTGTATCCATTTTAAGATTCTATATTGGAATCCAAAATTAAGAAATCGAAAGATTTAGTTGGAAAGTTAAAAAAAAAAAATCTAAAAAAATTATAAAAACAAGATTATCTGAAAAAATCTACAATTTGTCAATTCCTTTTGTTTTTTCTTACCAATGAAGAAAATAAAATTCAGTGACCAATCATTTCCTAAGACTATATTGAAAACATGACATGATTGTGTGAAAACATGATCATGAACATGACCAAAACACAAGAACATGACCGTGAACAGAGACATAAATACTTTAAGTGTAGATAATCAACACGTGCTAAGCAGTGTTGGCTGGGACGTCCCGTCACCTTTTTTAGTCCTCCAATACAATCCATGTTCATATCGTGTTCAGTCCTAAAACTAAAATTGATAAAACAAATTTAATTCGACCAAAATTGATTATTACGAGATTGAAGGGTCTCAAAAATGATTTTTGTTCTACTTTTAATCTTTATAAAAAAAAAATTACTATTTAAATTTTATATAAAATATTAAAAAAATTAAATTGAATATTATTTAAAAAAATTCAAAATTTAGAACACCATTATAATTATAATAATGATAATTAATAATGATACATTATTAAGTTGAATAGGGCGCGGTGGAGGTGGCGGTGGTCGTGGTGGTGCCCAGGCAGGCAGGGCAGGGGCAGGGCTCTGGGTTTCGCTCTCTACGACTACGTTGAGTGTTTGTTGTGAGCGAATGAATGAATTATCAGTATATTCATATATATAGAGAGAGAGAGAGAGAGGGAGAGAGAGAGAGAGGTCATCTTCATCTTCACCTCTGAAATTGCAGCAGCAGCTTCTTCTTCTTCCTCTCCTCCGCCTGGTGCGTCTTTTTGTTCCTGTTTTGCCCTTATGTCTAAGGCAGGCATATAAGACGGTAACCTGGTAATGGCAATCGTATCCTATGTACCAAATCGTCAAATCACAATTACCCTCGATTCTTTTCCCTTTTCTTATTAAATAAATAAAACCTTAATTAATAATTTACGGGAGGCCTTTCCCTTCCCTTCCCTTGCCCTTGCGCTCCCCCGAAATGCCCAAAACCTGCTGATGATGGCTGGTCGATGCTGATGCTGATGCTGATGCTGATTCCATTTCCAAATGCGCACCGATGATTTTTCCCCATAGATTTCTCAACTCAGCCTCTGGTAAGGTAGTAAAACATTCGCTACACTACTCCAGTTTTGTATTTTTATTTTTCCCTTTTTCCGATTCTCAACATCGTTTGCTGCACATACACGAAGAATTAGTGCGGGTGTGTGTTTGACTGTGTATTTTTCTAGGTTTATTAAAGCAACTAAGCTGGTGTTTGATCAGAAATCTCCATCAATGTGTGCTCTTGGTAGATCCTTATATGTTTATCTGCTTCTATGACTTTGGTGGCTAATCGTTCTATCTTTTATGATCGCTTTGGGATTTTATGGATGATATGCACTGGAATTAGATTTGGAGTGAAACTTTGCAGTTCTTCAAAAGTGGAAACCCTATGTGTGTGATGCCAGTTTTGAAATAATGATAGAACCTTGATTTCTCTACTTAATTTTTTGAGACAATGAGAGCTGTAACTAATACAATATTACTTCCACGTTGCATTTTGTAGTTTTTGGGGATCCCTGAATGGAATCAGATAATGCCATGGATGATTTTCTATCCAATTTAATTACTTTAAGTGTTTGTTGAAGTTCTGTCAGTTTGATCGAAGTTAACTAAGTTTTTCAAGTTAGCGGGAAACATACAGGAAGACCACATTGACTATTTTATACGGTGTCAAAGACATCTTTGGTCTGCTTTGGCCTTGGGTAGAATTATTCTAATGTAACAGTTAAAAGTTAACTTCTATTAGTCTATTTTTACTTCTTAGCAAGCTTATATGATGCTTCCAGTTTTGATCTAAAGGAAGAATTTTAGAATGATATTTTTGCCTTTTGCATCGATAGAAGCTTGATTTACGATTACAGTGCATATGAATTTATACTCATTGCTATTATTGTAATTATATTAATTTTTTAGACAAGTAAAATATCCAACAACTGGCAATTCTATTATTATATTGTGCCACTATTTTATTTATTGGATTCTTGTGTTTGTCACAAATAATCATTTTGCCTATCCTAAGCAACCTGCCTTTGCTTACAGTTGGTTCAGATGGCTAAGTATGCCATGAAGGTTTGTTTATTTTTTCATTAAACCTGCAGCTGCGACTCATGTATATGCAGAAACTCCGCAGAGGCTTTTAGCACTGGCTTGAGCCCTGTGTGTTATGCTTGATTTATTTCATTTAACCTCAGTATCCAATAATACTGTTAGACCCATGGCTGAGTAATCTAGGCTCTCTACTCCATAGCTAGGGTTTCTATGATTTCAACTGGATTTTGTTTTCGTTTCAGACTTGTGGCTTGGGACAGGAGTACTCCTGTATTTTGATCATGGGTTTTACTGAATTTTATTTCGATTCGCTATTCATTGGACCATGCTATGCATTTAATCTTGCATTAATGTCTGTACTTAGCGAAATTGACTGTATATGTATCTATTAAACAAAATAACTTATTTTGCTTTCTACTAAATTGTATTCTATCATGCACAAAGAAATGAAATTAAGTTGCATATATATATATATCACACTCAATTTTTGGATGAGTATACCATTTCGTTGTTTATCCTTCAACCATTCTATTGTTTTTGTGCTGTTTATATTTTTTACATCTAAATGTTAAAGTGAGACATTGTTTTCTGCTTCAGGTTTTGTGTGAATCATGGATCTTAGGAAATGCACAAGCCTTAGCGATGCACCTTCTCTGAGGGTTGGTACAGTAAACTATCCTCACAAGTTACAAGCAAAGGCTCAAATAGATGATGTCGAGGAGCCTTCAGACTGTGCTGCTTCCATGGACATACATCTTGACGTTCGGGAGATTTATTTTCTGATCATGCATTTTCTATCTTCTGGGCCATGCCAGAAAACATTTAGACAACTATGGGAGGAGCTCTTGGAACATGAGCTCTTACCTAGAAGATATCATGCTTGGTATTCTAGAGGAGGCACACTTCGTGGGGATGAAAATGTTGATGGAAATTCATGTCCTCTAAATTATCACAATCTAATTGCAAGGTAAAGTATATTTAATATTCCTACACTTGTCTTTCTTTTTCATTTGATGGAGATTTTGTAATCCTTGTGATAGGTCCGTTAAAGGAAACTGAATAGTATCTTCCGTCAAATAATATATCTACTGCAATCTTTCTTTGAGTGACTTATATATCTTTGTTAACCTAAGGTTAAAATGCCTAGTATTGATGATGCTATAATAGTTAAGTATTGCAAGTTTAATGTTCAATATTCTCATGCTATATGAATTAGCTTGCATAAATGGAGGATGGGGCATCTTATGAGATAGTTATAAGCAATAGCATCCTTAATATATTATTGTCTCTTCTTTTGATAATTTCACTGATTTTGGGAATCATACTTCAGTAAGGTGCTGGATTTTTCTCTGAAAACAAGTCACTTTGTTTGATTAAAACCTAATACATTTGAATCTTATGCTAGGTATCCTCACATTGAAAAGGATCACTTGGTGAGGCTGCTGAAACAACTGATGTTGATGACATCTCCTCCATTAGGATGTATGGTTGGAGGGACTGCTCCTAGTGCTGCTGATGTTCCTACAGTTCTGGGAACTGGGTCCTTTTCTTTGCTGTCGTGTATGATTTGCTCTTTTGCTGTTTTTCCCTTTTCTTCATATTTTCATCTAGCACATTTACTGAACTAATATTCAACTTAACTTTGCGGGAAATGAATTCTTTGTTGATTTATTTGTTTAAGACGTCTTAGATCAGCTTTCTCAGCATTATATATCTTTACTGGTATCTTTTGAAACCATTAAAATTTAATGCTCATGGTACTTTCTATGTAAAAGTCTATTACAGTCATGTATATTTATATTTCATGAAAAAGATAGAAGTGCACCAAGTTACATCTAAGATAAGTATGACATGTATCCGTGCTCTAGACTGTCTTCTCTATCGGGTTGTCTTTGCAGCTTTTCGAGAACTTGGTGTTCAATGGTTTCAACTAATTCTCCCATGTTTTCTAGTTTGGTTTTTTACCTATTATAGCTCTTGTTTGAGACATCTTGTTTTTCCAATCTTACATTCTGAAACTAGTCTGGGACTCTGGGCTGCCAGATTGCATGATTTTCAGGGTTCATGATGCCTGAATAAAAACTATAAATTTTTCATCTCTTTTGCTCCAGGAGCTAACAAAATTTCAATAAATTTTATTCTTACAAGTGGATTTTCAGAAGGCACAAATGGCTGACAGATTGTCATTTTGTATGTAATATGTAGTTTTCTGGATTTATTTTTATAATTACCTGCTGATATCACCTCCAAAGTAATTATATAGTGTGGCACATGTTTAAAGTGTCTGGGCAATAAAATGCATAGAATTTTAATAAGGCTACCCTTGTTACTGACTGAATTAACTGATGTAGCTGGCTTCTTCATTTCACATTAGCTGTATTAATGTCATGCAGCTGAAGCATCTAGTCATTTGAACCTTTTGATAGACTGTTGTGTACGTACAATTTGACTATAAATTTATATGAATCTCTTGCGGGGGAAAATACGTTTTGAGCAGTTTTACATGCTATGCAGGTGAGAGAAATAAAGTAAATAAAAGAGGGCGGAATGTGATGTCTCATCTGCGCTGGCCTCATATGCAAGCTGATCAGTTTAGGGGGCTTAGCTTGAGAGAAATTGGAGGAGGCTTTACAAGACACCATCGTGCCCCATCCATCCGTCTTTCATGCTATACCATTGCCAAACCATCAGCTATGGTGCAGAAGATGCAAAATATAAAGAAGTTAAGAGGGCACAGGGATGCTGTGTATTGTGGTAAATATAAGCTTTTGAATTCCAGCGGACGGGAAATTCCATAACCTAGTCCTTCATTAGAAATCTTGATACGGTTTGTGCTTGAAGCAAAACATAAGTTCATGTGGTGTCTTATTTTGATGTGTGTGAATATCTTGTTGCCTAGAAAATACATTTTTTGTCTTAATACGATCAGTTTTATTTTATGCAAGTGGTATGCCATCAAAATTTGTTCTGCATGGAGGAGCTTCATTTGTTTGTTGTTGTTGTTTCCCTTTTATTTTTTAATATCACATTTTTACTGGAGTAGTTTGATACATAATTACTTTGGATTTGTAGCAATATTTGATCGTTCTGGTCGCTATGTGATTACTGGAGCGGATGATCGGTTGGTAAAGATTTGGTCAATGGAAACTGCATTTTGTCTAGCTAGCTGCCGTGGACATGAAGTAAGTTTAAAGGGTGTGGACTACCTATAGGGTATATTCTATTGTTTTCTTAAATTCAATAGTACGTTTAACATTTTTTTTTCTTGTAATTTTTCTAGGGTGACATTACAGATTTGTCTGTCAGTTTGAATAATACCTTGGTGGCATCAGCATCTAATGACTTCACTATTTGTGTTGTAAGATTTTTTCTCTCAAATCAATTTGATGTATAGTTTCTTTAGCACTTCAGAAACCGGAATATTGTCTTGTGCAGTGGCGGCTGCCAGATGGTTACCCTATTTCAGTTCTGCGTGGGCATACAACAGCTGTTACTGCAATTGCATTTAGTCCCAGGCCGAGTGCTCCATATCAGCTCTTATCGTGAGTTCATTAGTAAGCATTATAATTGTTATACTAATTAACTTTTAAATCAAGTTTTATTTGGGATCTGACAAGTTAACTGTTAATGGCTAAATCGTCAATACAAAATGCTAACGATTTATTCCTTCATATGCCTATATGTGTTTTATTAGTTCCACCAGTATGTTTATGACGAGGTCACTGTCTTTTTTTAATTTAATCCAGTGATTCTAATAGAAACACTCCAAGGGCATTTCCTTTATTTTTAGATGTTTCCTGTCTTCTCTATAAGCTTTCCTTATCAGTGTAAACAACTTATTGAAGCTTCTGTAGTCATAATTTTAAGTAATTAAAATATGAGCTAAATGCATTTTATTATAACTCGTATATGAAAACTGAGCAAAGTATTTTCTGTACATTATCACCACGGAAGATGATATCTCATTTTCTGTAATACCTATCTTTGTACCATCATCATGTGGTCAGCTATGTCCTGGTAGTGAACTAGTTCAAACATTCACAGGTCATCAGACGATGGAACATGTCGATTATGGGATGCTAGATACTCCCAGTGCCGACCTCGTGTTTATGTCCCAAAGCCTACAGATTCTATTGCTGGTAGCAAATATCTTCATTATCCACTTTATGCTGAGAGCCAATATAGAGGGACTAATATCTATGTACTGGTGCAGGAATGAACAATGGTTTGTCCTCTGTGGGCACATCATCAAGCATTAGTTTACAATCCCATCAAATACTATGTTGTGCATTCAATGCTAATGGAACTGTTTTTGTTACGGGGAGCGCTGATACGTTCGCTAGGGTATGAATTAACATCCATCTGTTTGATGTACAAAATGAAATTGCTTTGTCACATTTGTTCCTTATTTAGTAAAAAAAGAAATTATTTCATTTTAATCAGTAAACAGAACTGGACTACTAAGTTCTACAATGCTTTTGACGAATTGATACATGTAAATAATTGCCTTGTCCATTGTGCTCGACTGTACCAAGCATAGTGTAGCAGGTATAAAAATGTAACTAATTGTGGATGAGTCAACTCCTTGCTTATGGCTAGACATGGTAATAGATCTTTATTCAACATGTTGGCTACATAACATGCACAAAACTGTTTGATCTGCTGTTCTTTGACCCAACTGATGCTTTTAAAAATATTGACAAGAAGGTGATATGAGCTTAATAATAATAATAATAATAATAATAATAATAAAAGAACTCTAAAGTGCTTCTCTTAACAGGTTTGGAGTGCTTGTAAACCGGGTACAGAAGATCCTGATCAACCATGTCATGAAATCGACATCCTAGCTGGTCATGAGAATGATGTTAACTATGTCCAGTTCAGGTTAGTAGCCTAGTAGGTCGCTACGTGCTACTAGGACTTCTTCTTGGCCTTACGCTGCTTTCTTTACAGTTGTAGTGCCGTGGCTACAAGATCTTCTCCATCAGATTCAATCATTGAGGATAGCACCTCAAAGTTTAAGAATTCCTGGTCTGTTATTGCTTATATGCTTTTCCTGTTAAAATTGTTACACCCTTGTGCTGGTTTTAGATTTTACACACAAATTATTTATTAATAATTGCAGGTTCAATCATGACAATATTGTAACCTGTTCACGGGATGGAAGTGCAATTATTTGGATACCTAGATCACGGAGATCTCATGTTAGTTTTTCTTAGTCTAAAAAAAATTAAGTTCTAGTGCTCATTATGCGAATCAACTTGAGCATTTTGCGCAATTGCTTATTGCAAGTGCTTATATTAATTTGCCACATACATGGTTGTAACCTTGTACATCATCAATAATATTAATTTTCTTCCTTTCTTATAGGGGAAAGCTGGCCGTTGGGTTCGGGCTTATCATCTTAAAGTTCCTCCCCCACTTCTACCTCCCCATCCTACTCGAGGTGGTCCTCGTCAAAGATTTCTTCGAACTCCTCGTGGTGTTAACATGATCATATGGAGCCTGGATAACCGCTTTGTGCTTGCAGCTATCATGGGTAATCTATTTTAATAGGGAAAGCCTTTTCTTCACTTACCTGTTAAAACAATTAATTTATGTTGTTTGCGAATATAAGAAGGATAACGTTATGCTTACTGTGTTCATAAGTGGTATCTTTCCAGATGAACTACTCTTCTCCCTCTCAGCATGCACGGGTACACACATCCTCATTTTAATAAGATTGGATGTGTGATTATTGATGCAAACCTTATTGCCGCATAAGTCGGTATAGATTTCAATAGGATATACAGTCCACAGAAGTTCAGTGAATGTTGTGTTCCCCGTATCTTCGGAGAAGAGCTAGTTCTTTATTTCTTCTTCTTAAGTTAGTCATTCTAATTGCCGTTGTACCTTCCCAAATCCCAACCACCTAAACATGCTTGTAGCCTCTAAAGTCTGAACATGATTAGATGGTTATTAATTTGTAACGGGATAACCTGTTCATTCACTGCAGGGAAAGTGATAAATTGAGGAATGAGGACATTTTGTTATAACTTATAATGTCATTTTTTTTTTTTCAAAACACACACACACATATAGTTTTCCTTATTGCTCTCATATTAAATTAGTTATCCATTTTATTTTGTTCTACATGCAAATTTAGGACTTCATGCTGAATCATTCAAGAGATATTATTTGGTAACTTGAGTTGGAATCTATGTTTATGTTGAGATATTTCTGCAGATAACAGAATATGTGTTTGGAATGCTAATGATGGTAGCTTGGTGCACTCCTTGGCTGGTCACACAGCTTCGGTAAGATCAGTTAGACTTGGAAGTTTGCTGTTATGTTGTAAGTGACTGCAGCTTATAATCTTATGTGCATCAATATCTTAGTCAACGGTCTTCTTGTAAGGAACAAGAATGAAGTTTGCATTATTCCATTGGATGCAAGTCATGAATAATGCATGATGGAAATGCCTGGTGAACTAAATTGATAAAGTAATCATAATAATAGAAGATTTTGCAGTTCTCTTCGATGTTCTTTTATTGCCTGTTGCCTGTGTTGCCATGATAAAAAGATCGCATACCTACGTAAGAGTTACATTTTTAGATATGGTCATTATCCAATAATTCTAACATGGTATTGAGGAGGTTCTGTGTACAGAGCTTAGGTGCCATCATTTTATAAATAATGCATCGCCTATATATGAGGAGCCATTCTATTTATAAGTCTTGCATGAAAATTCAAATAATTTAATAACTTGATTTGGTGCAGTGTTTCCTAGCTTATATTGCATTCTAGGTGCTTCCATTCTTCTCTCTATGATTTCTAGGGAGTTTTCACCTAGGGGTTTTATATTATTTTATGCTTAATTAAATTTGTTTATACCATTGTTCTACTGTATGTTTTCTTCACAAGCTATAGTGGGGGCTTTTATGAGATATGAATATATGTTGGTGGAGGTTAGCAAGTGCTTTTGTTGGATCATGGTCTCTCCGATACCAAGCCACTGGAAGATTGAATCATTGCCATTTATGTGTTCTTAGTGCTCATAATGTTGTTTGAATGTTGGCAGACTTATGTCTTGGATGTGCACCCTTTTAACCCAAGAATTGCTATGAGTGCTGGGTATGATGGGAAAACAATATTGTGGGATGTAAGTTAGATAATATTCTAATTTTTCAATAATTTGTGAATGCTAGTTTTCTCTATCTTATTCTTTTATGTTTATTTTTGTCCTAGATATGGGAGGGTACCCCTATAAGAGTATATGAGATTGGTGGACGCTATAGGTTGGTTGATGGGAAGTTTTCACCGTAAGTCATACCCTGTGATCTTTTATCTGCATATCAGCTTTCCGTTTTTTTGGTCTATGAAATTTCATCCTCACTATTTCAATATGATTTTAGTGAACCATTTAGGGTGTGTTTGTTTGGAGGTTTGGATTTTGAGTTGGGATTTGAATAGTAAAAATTTTGAATTTGAATAGTTGTATGATGTGATATAAATAGGTGTTGATGTGATGTTTTAAATGTAAAATTGATTTTTAGTATAATATAAAAAATGAAAAGTAGGTGTTTGATTTGATGTTTTTGGGGAGAAAAAATGGGATGAATAGTGGATTGGAAATCCAATCCCCCAAACAAACACACCTTTATTTTTTCTGGGTATAATTTAAGCTCATGAATTAATGCTAGTCATTCGTATTTGAGTTTGTTATCTTTATGTTTGCTCTTCTTTCTTGATGGTTCTTTTGCTTTACTTATCATTCAAAATACCGTCTCTTGGTTATGTAGGGATGGCACATCTGTTGTGCTTTCAGATGACGTAGGACAAATATATCTAATAGACACTGGTGAAGGGGAGTCCCAGAAAGATGCTAAATATGATCAGGTATATGGATTGCATTTTCCCTTCCCACTTCTCCTCTCATGATCATTCTGATCTAATAGTGTGAAGCGTGTATTCCTGTTCAACAGTTTTTCCTTGGAGATTACCGCCCACTTACCCACGACGCTCATGGAAATGTTGTTGATCAGGTGATCTTTTTTCTTGCATATATTGTCATTTCACTTTAGGAGATTAGTTCCTTTTTGTTGCTATTTAGAACTGCTTCTACTTCATTTAGTTTTTCTCTTTTGTTTTGTCATGCTGCATATCTTTCCACTATATCCACAGTTGCCACATATCTGATTTGGTGCCCTTGGTGTACCAAATCACCGTGAACTCCATAGCAGTCTGGTTTGGTTAGTTAAGGCTATTATTTAACCTCAGATTTACCCTCTAATTCAGAACACTAGAAGAAATCTTGAGTATTATGGGACGGAAAAAGCCTCAAGGAAGATGATTTATTGGTGTTATTTTGACCAAAAAAAAAAAAAAAAAGAAGAAAAGAAAAAGAAAAGAGTGACATTTTGACATAGCTTTTGGATTTGATAATCCATTTACAACTTACTTTCCCTTCTGATTCTCCTAAATATGACAAGCAGGTCGCATTCACCCAAGTATCATCTGTATATATATATACATGGAATATGGCTTTCGTTGATGGCAGTTCTTGTCATTAAAATGCTGCATATGTGGGCTGCATAATTTCTTTTTCTTTTATTTAAATCACTGTTTGTTTTCTCTGGTTCAGGAGACTCAACTCCCACCACATGCTAGGAATATTCAAGATCCGTTATGTGATTCAAGTATGTTTCAGTTTCTGTTATATGTTGGCCATCATGCCTGAATTGGTTGGAGTTTTTCTGCAGTTGTTTTTTTATATACAGATATTCATCTGTTTTGCTTAACCCTATCGCTGGGGGAATCACAGGCATGCTTCCATACCCAGAGCCTTATCAGAGCATGTATCAACAACGTAGACATCGTGCTCTTCAAAAAGAGTGGCGTCCTTCATCCATAAAATTTGCTGTTGGCACTGATACTGGGATGGGCCAAGAAGTTCAAATATTACCCTTGGCAGATTTGGATGTACTTGAGCCACTGCCAGATTATGTTGATACTCTCTGGGAACCTGAAAATGAAGTCATGAATGATGACAATGATTCAGAGTATGATATTGCAGAAGAATATTTTACATCTTCTCCTAGTGTCAGCACATCAATTGATGCAGGTTCTAGTGAAGAAGACAATGTAATACGGAATAAGAAAGAGAGTATGCGTCGGGCAAAGCAAAGAAAATCTATGGTTGAAGTAAGATCATTTTCAGAAATATAATTATTTTTGGAAGCTTCCACTGTCTAAGCAACTTCTTCTTTTGGTTTTTTTTTTTTTTCCAGGTTGAGTTTACAACTCCTTCAGGTAGACGGCCCAATAAGAGAATTTTGAATGGACAAGGAGGAAGTACTTCCAGAAGTAAAGCTCGCAAAAAATTAAAACATGCTCAGAATACCTCTAAAAGGAAGCCTACGAAGTCAAAGTCATTGAGACCTCAAAGAGTTGCAGCACATAATGCTATCAATAGCTTTTCCCAGATATCAGAAACCTCTACTGATGAAGAAGATGAAGATGATGGTGGTTCAGCAAGTGATACATCAGACAGCGAGTTGTGTTTGGAAGATTCAACCATTCAGAGATATTCAAATGTTCCAAGTGTATCTTTGGATGGGTCTGAAGATTGTGGCGATCATCCTTTGAAGAACTTTGACTCTGATATCAATGTTGGGAACAAGAAGAAATTGGTTGTTAGGTTTTCACTTCATCGGCGTGGTGCACCTACATACACTAATGGTGTGGGCCAATTGAAGGATCAAGCTTGTGATGCATCTTCATCTTTGAGAGCTGATGAAAAAAGCCCTGATGTAGACAGGGCTAATTCTAGATCAGGGGATTTGGGTGGTTCATCTTCTTTGGATATGGTTGGTAAGGAAGTGACTGAAAATTGTAGAAGGTTGTCTGAAAATGCGGAAGAACCAACTGAAGTAGGCAATGAGCCAAGTGCATACCCAAGTGGCAATGGCTCAAATATGAGTTGGGGGAAGTTCAAAATATGCATGGCAAAGGGCGTTCATCCAGAGACTCATGCTCAAAGGATGGTGAATCCTGTAAGAACTAATAATCTCTGTCCTGATGAAAATGAAGATAAGTCATTGTTATCTTTTACATCTTCTCGCCATGTCCATCAGCAGGTGGACAGTGATTCTGGAGGGTTCTATAAGCAAACATCTCAGAGTGCAGAAAAAGACTCTTCTAACTCAGAGCTTCATGAATCTAGTCACCCCATTCTTGATGCAAGACATTCATTTGAATCTCAAAATAATACTGTAAAGAAGCCAACTGTGCTAAAGATAAAGACAAAGAAGCTTCTGGGGGACTCTTCTTCCAAAGTACCAGGCAAGAATATCGCAGATACCTCATTGGGTGGTGGTTTAGATGAGCTGATGTCAAGAAGGGTTTCGTCAAGAGAAGGAGAAACAGTTTTCAAAGATTCAATGACAGGCAGTCATCCAGCTGAAACAAATGGTATGCTGAATATCCATGTAAATGGTGATGAAGCCTATGACAGTAATGCACCTGTGGGCTTCGATAACCAAGGGGCAGAATCTGAACCTGACATGGAAACTGATTCAGCTCGTAGGACTAGATCCTTGAGGTTGAAGATTTCATCCCAGGATATTGGCCTTGCAAACAATAACTTGGAGATGGGCAACTATCTACAACCAGGTACATCAAGCGGTACCAGAAAGTCCTCCAAGAAAGATGTTGATTATTTCCCATCTCAGAGGTCCAAACATGTTGGAAGACCCAGGTCTTCCAGGAAACAGAGAGGGGGTTCCCATGGGGGAGACGCAAGTTCTTTGATTGAAGACGACCAGCAAATTATGCCTAAAAGACAGAATTGGTTGTTGATGTCGGAGCAAGAAGAGGGATACAGGTACATCCCTCAACTAGGAGATGAAGTTGTGTACTTGCGACAGGTAAGCGATCTAAGCTGAGTTGAGCTTCAATTTTATTGATGGTTTATTCTCTAAATTCATTTAGTAGCTTACCAGACCACACAATTGCTATAAATGTTATGCAGGGCCATCAGGATTACATAGAGTTGACCCACGTGCTGCAACAAGGTCCTTGGCAGAGATATGGAGATAAGATTAGAGCTGTTGAAGTTTGTTCAGTTGAAGACCTCAAGTATACGACACATTCTGGTTCTGGGGAGAGCTGCTGTCAAATCACACTCAAATTCATTGATGGCACTTGTGCTGTAGTTGGCCAAAGATTCCTACTGATACTATCTGAAATGGATGACTTCCCAGATTTTGTGGTTGAGAGGACATGGTATGAGGCATCTATGGAGAGAAACTGGACAACTAGGGACAAATGCCTTGTTTGGTGGAGAGATGAGGGAGGGGAAGCTGGTGCTTGGTGGGAAGGCCGCATCACTGCAGTTAAAGATAAATCTAGTGATTTCCCAGAAAGCCCGTGGGAAAGATACCTTGTTAAATACAAGAATGATAATGCTGATTACCGGCGCCATTGCCCTTGGGAGCTGCACGATCCAGACAGGCAATACGAGCCTCCCACCATTGACATGAAAATCAAACCCAAAATCGCGAAAGCATTAAGAGAACTAATGCAGACAGCTAATAAGGATAAGGTCTTTCTCTTCTTCCCCTTCTTGATTTGGCTTTTGCAAGTTTATCTAAAAATGAATGGGAAATTCCTAGGATTCTTTTTAATGTTGTTGCCTGATGTTACAGGATAAATACGGCATCTTAAAGCTGAATGAAGTTGCACGGAAGTTAGATTTCATGAACAGGTAGAAAGTGTATGTTTGGTTGCTAAAAATTCGAACTGTGCACTGATTCTTAATGCTGCTGCAGATTTCCTGTTCCATTATCTCTTGGAATAATCAAATTGAGAGTGGAAAGCGACTATTATAGGAACCTGAAAGCATTGAAGCATGACATCAAGGTAATGCTATCAAATACTGAATCTTACTTTTCAAAAAATACAGACTTCTTGAGAAAGGTGAAGCGCCTATCAAGCTGGTTTGATAAAAACATTTAGGGTCTGTAGCTGCCTGCATTCGTTTTTTCTTTCGTAAGCCTACAGATTCGATTTTGTTGCATGGATCTATTTGGCTTGCTCAATAGTCAATAGTGGCATATATTCCGATACAAAGGAGCTGCAGAATGAAAATTCAGTTACAAAAATTTGATAGGGAACTGGCAGCACCCTAACTGGTTACAAAACCTCATAGGAGTGAAGAGATTATCATTTGTATATCAGAGAACATGAGATTCTTTTTTAATCATCATTTTATACTATAGAAGAACTCTTTTCGTCGCAAACCTTCCTTAATCTGTTAACTAATTATTCTTAGTTTTTTTATCTGTTGTTTATTTGATTGCAATATTTTTGTTTAATAATGTTCTTGAATCCACGATCTGGGCATTGTTTAGATTGTTGTAGTCGAAGTTATTCCTGATACTCGCCTCCTAGGAAATAAATATTCGAACGAAAAGATCTTTGATTTATCCCACATGAAAGTATTATGAAGTTGGCATAGTCAAGTTCTCTATTTTAGGTGTAGGTTGTTTAGATGTTTAGATATGTCAGTGAGTAATGCGACATTCAAATATACATCTCCATAATTAAAAAAGTTGCTGCTGTTTTTCTGCCATCTACACAGATGCTTAATAAATAATTTTGTTTTCTTCATTCTATTCACGGGTAAGAATTTCCTACATATTCATCAGTTTCTACAGGCCTGGAAGAACCAAGATACCAAAAAAATAAGTAGTACAAAGAATAGTTGGATTAAACTTGTGTCTCAATGCTATGTCGCCCTCGCCCATCTTCATCTTCATCTTCATCGTCATCGTCAGAGTTAGTGTCATTATCGGAATTCTGAATCAAGAACCAGTATTAACTAAGGTGGACATTCCATATAGAGTTTGCAGTAATGTTATTACTAGAAAAAGCATTTATACCTGGTAATGAAGACTAATGGTGCTGTGTAATGCTGCCACAACCCGGATTAGTATGTACATAGGAAGAAGTATGCCACTAGCCTTCGCCATAAGCACCTGGTTCAATTAAAATTTCATTGTATGTTGGGTGTATATAGAGCTGTTAAACGAGCTGAACAAGCTCAAGTATCGGTTGTTTGAGCTCGGCTCGAATTTGTTACTGGTACAGGCTTGGCCCGGCTCGTTAAGAAAACGAACCAAAATGGTCGCTCGAGCTCGGATCGTTAGGCTTAAGTTTCAAGCACGAGCTCGATCAAGTTTGAGCTCAATTTGAATTTATGCATATTCTATATATTTTTAATATATAAATTAGATATATTTAATTTTATTCATAATTTTTTATAATAAAATATTCAAAGTTTAATAATAAATGTAAATTTTGATATAAAAAATTATATATATTGTATAAATAATATAAATATATTATCACTAACGAATTCAATTGAACTACTCAAGCTCGGCTCGGCTCGTTTATCTCTATAAACAAGCCGGGTTGAGCTGTTAACGAGCTGAGTCGAGTTTGATTTGTGAGCTACTCAATTCATTTAACAGTACTCAATTCATTTAACAGTTGTAGGTGTGTAGTCGATATGAATATGATCAATAGTTGTTTGCAAGAAAAAATGAGGAACATTAAACTTACAGTAGCCAATGAGAATGGGTAAGGCCCTTCTTCACCGGTAAGAACATCAAATAAATGTCTGATCAGAAGTAGAGCAGTAAACTGCAAAATTTCAGATAAACAAAATGAAGATGTTAAAGACACTCTGAATCCCAATCCCCAAGTTGAGTTAATAATGCAACAGCCAACTGTGCCTATATGTATGCACAGAACATAATTAATTGTAGAAATTACGGGTGATGTATGAAAGGCTTACAATGAGAGCCACTGATCTCCAGCAAGCAGCACCTGTATTATCTGCTGTTGCATACTCTGAATAATAATCTCTATCAAGAATCTCTCCCTGGTTTCCTTCTTCCTCGTTTATAGGCACTACCAGAGTTTCCCTATAAAATAAACAAATAAATACCCCACCAAATATCCCATTAATTTCATTATCTAATGATTAATCATTATTCCCCTCTCTACCTGGTCAACCCCTCTCTAATTTCAAATATCAATAAAATAATGAATTTATAATAAACTATAAACCATCTTTTATTTGCCGGGAAATCAGGATTTGGATGGAATATAGTATGAGGATTAATCTGTAGGATTTATGAATGTCTAAAGAAATGATAGGATGACTAAAGCCATGATTAATGCCAGTGCATTTAAAGAATATTGAATTGGAAATGTGACTGCCAATGCCAGCTGAGGAAATGGACAAGAGTGAGTGAGTACCTTATGGTTATTGTTGTAGCGATTAGCTGTGTCTTCTTTGGTGGAGATGTGTATCCTGGTTCAAATTTCTGCAAATTACAGGAACACAACTATTTGTTTAAATTATAAGATTATGTCTAAATCATCACATCCTTAAAAAGACATAAGAGAAAGAGAAAACAGAAATTCAAAAAGTGATGCAAGATAAAAGCTTCCAAAACAGCTGTAGTCTAAATTCTAAGCTGTCATGCAAATAGAAATTGGAGTGTAGATAAGAACAAAGGTGGAGGCCCATCCTTTCAATGGAGAAAAGGAAATTCAGTTATGTAAGCGGTAGGTCCATTTTCATGCTTGAAAATAGACTATTGAGACAGAGAGACGTATTAATCAGCCTTTCCTAATTTGATAGCGCCATGTTAAATGTAAGCCAATACAGAAAACAAACTGACTATGGCAGAAAATTTGGAACTATAAAAGAATTCATAAATATTGAACGGAAAAAACAATAGATAATAAATCCAAAACTTGAGGGCACGACAAGAATGCAGAAAATAGAATAGAATATGTGAAACTTGAGAAATTGGCAAACAGCTCAAGAACATGCTGCTGCCCAAAACATAAACTCAAATTAGGCAGCAATTAAGAATGCTACAATGAATTTATCATCTTCTAGATTGAGTTGTTAACTTGTTATTGACGAAGATGATAGGTATCAATCAAACAATTGCAATTACGATTACGATGACAAATTACACACCTGCAAGCAAATTTCACAAACTGTGTTCCCTTTCTCATCGCACCACCTCTGCACGCAATCTCTGTGTGCAAACTGAAAGCACCAAGGCGAGCAAAAGCTTAGAAAACTGTTGATCAAAATTAAATCCAAACACATGATTAAATTAATGCAAAAAAGAAAAAGAGAGCAACAAGCACCTTTACAGTTCCGGAACAAGCACAAGGAACCTCCAAGGCCTTGCAGCTCTCGAACTCTTCCTCGTGACAAATTCTGCAGATCGAAATTGCGGAGCTGAAATCACGATGATGATCATCATCATCATGAATGAAGAGCGTGACCTGGTTCATGCTAATAATTTCGTCACTGCGAACCAAATCCTCACAAGCACCAAAAGAAAAGTAGCTGGAGAGGAGAAGGATGACGATGGTCACGTCGTGTGATTTAGTATTACTCTGCGTTTTGTACAGTTCGGAAAAGCGCAGTTAGTTTGTTACATATATATATATATATATATATATGCAACGGAGCGGAGCTGAAATTTGTAAGGGTACCCCACCCACGCCCCACCCCTCCCTCAGGGAAAGATCGAGGGAACGCACGTTTATATATATAATCATATTAGTATATTGTTTGAATTAGCCTAGCCTTATAGCCTAATAGCGTAGACTTAGAATAATTTTTTCATTTTTATTTTGAAGGATTTTATTGGAGGGAGAGCATAATATGAATAAATGCGTTTGTATTGTATGTATCTGTAAGTCATGGTTTGAATTTGTTGGATGGATTGAGGTTGGATAATTGGATGGATGGGTGTGAAAGTGGGCTGGCAATCAACGGCTAATATTTAACGTGGGGCCCACACGGCGTCACCGGCGCCCCCGCTCCATCCAGCCACCCACCCAACCGGACGCGCTCCAAAGGGCTTTTTAGTAAATTCCTTTCACTCCCAAATATTCGTGCTGCAGCCCAGCCCAGCCCAGCCCATTAGGAAGGATTTTAGGGTTTAATTCACTTATTACAGTAATGCTTGTATTGTAAACAGTTCAACTCTTATGGAGTATTACAGTAATTAACAAAATAGTTTGATTGGTCGGGCAGAGCAGAGCCAGATCGTGGTGGATTGTCAAATTATCATCTCCCATGTACGTATTACTCTTTGTTTCGATTGATATCGTAATCCTAGCTATTATTTTTGTTTCAATTGATATGCTGCTATTCTTATCAATTCGTCTTTGATTTGAGTCCTAGCATTTGAGGTCAAGAGTTCCAGCGTTAGGTTGATTTTTATTATTTTTGTTTCAATTGACATAGTGATTTTCATTATTCTTGTTTTCATTACTCTGGTTTCACTTGATACGATGTTTTCCATTTATTCTTGTTTCAATTTGATTTTTGTTATTCTTGTTTCAATTCTGACTTTCATTATTCTTGTTTCAACTTATGCATCTCATTGAGTCCTAGCGTTTGCTTTGATTTTTATTATTACGTTTTTCAATTGACATGTTGATTTTCATTATTTTTATTCCAATTTGATTTTCATCGCTCTTTTTTTCAACTAATGTCAGAGTCTTAGGGTTTGTTTAGATATGGAATTTCGAAGGTTTTTGTAAATTTGAAAGTTAAAAGAAAAAAAAAAAAAAAAAAAAAAAAAAGTAAAAAATTAGTACTCCCTCCTTCGTGCTCTCATTTGATCGGGCAAGGGGTTTAAGAAAAATATGTAAAAATAGAAATTTTTACTTTTTTTGGACAGAAAAGTGGTATTTTTTACTTAAAAAAAGAAACGGGAATAAATTTGGATGACATAAAAAAAAAAAAAAAGTGTGAATAGATTTGAACGAAGAATAGAGTATTTGACTTGATATTGGGTGAGAGGAAAAATGTATTTGTATGTGATGTTTTTTGAAAAAATAAACAGTAACAAATGATTGAAAATGTGTTGTCTAAACGTCTATTTTTATTATTCTTGTTACAATTGACATGTTATTCTTATTATTCTTGTTACAATTGACATGTTATTCTTGTTTGAAACCGTCGATTTTTATTATTTTTGTTTCAATTGACATGTTGACTTTTATTATTCTTGTTTCAATTCGACTTTCATTACTCTTGCTTCAATTAATGTCGGAGTCCTAGCATTTGCGTCGATTTTTACCATTCTTTTTTCAATTAATATGCTAATTTTCATTACTCTTATTTCAATTCTCAAAGCTTTAGGTTTGTTTGAGTGGAAGACAAGATGAACGATGAATTTGTAATCGAAAAATTCAATGGAATCAATTTTAAAGTTTGGAAAATGCAAATCGAAGATTATTTGCATGTCAAAGACTTAGAGGGCAGCGCTAGAGGATAAACCTAAAGATATGAACAAATTTACGTACAAGAAGATTGATAGGGAGGCGATGAGCATAATTCCACGTTCCCTAACACAAGACGTTGCATTTCAAACATTAAAGGCTAAAACGACAAGAGAAGTCTTGAAGATCTTATCGAATATTTATGAACCCACTATTGCTGACAAGGTTCACCTGATGCGGAAACTTTTCAATATGAAGATGGCCAAAAGTACTCCTATTGCTACACATCTCAATAGATTTAATGATATCATATCAGAGGTGACATGGGTAAATATCAACTTTGACACAGAGGTCAAAGCTCTCGTCTTCTTATCGTCTTTACCAGAAAGTTGGAATGCATTTATAACGACAGTGAGTGTTTCATCCGGGAAGAAAAAGATGAAATTTGATGAAGTTAGTGATCTAATCAATCTATACAAATGATAATATTTGATTTAGCTGTGGGATGAACTTGATAATCAAATTCTTGTCTTTGTATGATCATATCTAGAATTCTATTAGTCGTATTTCACTATTGGTAATATATATTTATATATAGATTGTTGTTATTGTACGATATACTCGTTCCATTACATGTTTTGTAGGTGCGGGCAGGAGGGCTCGAGTTTCGAATTCTTTAAAGATGTATTAAGTTTAAGCCACACTAATAGTTGGTTAACTAACACTAAAGAGACAATCCGATCTTTTTCATAGCCTTCCTAAGGGTGTGTTTCTTTTGATTGGTTTGGAAAAAATTTATTTTTTTCCCAAGAATCCAAATAATAAGAACTTGGGGGTTTGGTGCAAAAGCAAACTCTGCAATGCAATGTAGAACCATTAATTCCTTAAAACTATCGAACTCGAGCATACACACATGATTATACATAATAATTTAAGGCATTAATCACAACCTATGTCGAATTCGCCATACATATATATATATATATATATATATCTGATCTGATCATTAGAGGAGCCAATGGGTGACTTTTGCTTTGATGGTCTTCTCCTTGATGGTATCCAAACTGGGCTTCCATCCCTTTCCTGAAAACTGTCTGCTCAGAAACAACAACTCCTCCCTCCCACCTTCTACCATATCCATGTCCATCTCCATCTCCGGCACCGGCTTCTTCTTCTCCACCAACACAGGGGGGGTGAAGGCTTGGTGCTTAAGTCCTCTTCCTCCTCCGGGGCAAATCCTGAGGAAGAGAGGAACAACCCCAGTATAAGAGAGGAGGGGCTTCGGGTTTAAGTTTATTAGCACAGAGAGGGAAGAAGTGGCTGCTGATGCTGCTGCTTTTGCGAGAATGAGGCGAGCTTGTTCTTGTTGGAACGACGTCAATGATGTGGATTTGGCCTTGGCCTTGGGGAGCATGAGATAGAGCTTGTGGATATCCAGGGTGTGATCTGCTGGCAATGGGGTGGCCTTGTAATTGATATTCTTGTTCTTGTTGTTGATGATGATCATGGCTGGATGGAATTCCACCACCACTTCCTGTGGGTGTTCTAGCATCAGCTCAGCTACTGTGAGGGGCTTGCTGTAACTCAACATATTGCCGTCCGACAATATCACCTCCCCGCACTGGCGGCTGGCGCTGGCGGTGCCGGCGTTGCCCATCCCTTGCCTTTGTATATATATATGTATATATTATAGATTGAGCTTGAGGGAACTGGAAGGAGAAGGGTTATGTCTTGGCTTGCCTTATGTTATCATATCTAATGCTCTGTGTGTGTGTGTGTGTATAAATAAAGATTATGTATCACAGACTCTGCACAGAATTTAGTTTAGTTTAATTTAATTTAAGGTGGTTTAGGCGTATGTATGTTTGTGGTGTGATGTGATCAAGAATGCTTGTGTGTTTGTTAAACCGCTCCAACATTCATAACACACATACACACAGATCCTAGAGAGAGAGAGAGAGAGAGAGAGAGGAATCTATAATCAATAAATCAAACCCACCTTGCAAATTTATGAGATGAGATGATTGTAGAGTAGTAGTAAGTAATTCTTTCAAGGTGGGTGGGTGGTAATAAGATCAGATAAGCTTGCGTTCTTGCTAGCTTAATTGATGTGCATTTGCTACCCTACCCTACCCTACCCAACAATAACAACAACATTTCTTACAGCTACAGTTACAATTACAATTACAACTACAATTACAACTACAATTACAGTAGTAGTAGTAGTAGTAGTAGTAGTAGGTGCAGATAGATAGATAGGTAGATACGAGAATGAAATAAGAGGAACCGCTGAACTAACTCTCTCTCTCTCTCTAATACTACTAACTAACTAACTAACTATCTAACTCACCTTCTTCTTCTTCTTCTTCATCATCATATTCACAATAACAGGTCGTTAACCTACAAACACTTTGCATACTTTACGTAACTCATTAGTCTAAATCATGCATCCATAAATGTATATGTAGTAGAAAGAGTACACTAGTGTATGTATGTATGTTAAGTTATAAAACCAAAACAAGAAATAGTCTTACTCAGACAATTGGATTCATTCAATGCCACTTACAAATTCAAAGCGCTATTCGTTCGTTCGTTCATGCGTACAGTTTTCTAACATAATTCAGCTTATAATGAAAGAATCGTCTCCCCTTTTCCTCCTACCCCTCTTTGGAGGGCCGTTACTTCCCCACACTCACCAAAGAAAACGAAAGAGGATTCATGAGAATCTATTCAACCTTCATGCCCATCCATAATCAAAATCGATCATCTACTTTATGTATTGAGACATCCATTTGAACCCATCTCCATATCCCATCTTCCGCACAATGCTGCACATGAAAACCTCTATAGGGCGTACATTGGAATCAGCAAGGTTCACTTTCCCTTTCCCGGTAGTCACACCAGTCAACCCCAGGTGGTAACGCAACTCATCTTCTGAGGCAGCATAAGGTATGTCAATCTTGTTTCCCAGAATCAGAAACGGGACACTGGCCAGGCCCTCGTCCGAAAGGAGTGCATCTAATTCCTTTTTCGATTCTGCAAACCGCTCCTTGTCGTATGCATCCACCAGGTAAACTACAGCATCAACCTGTGGACCAGCAAAGAATATGGCATGAGATTTATTTGATTAACATTGCAGAGCTTGCTAAAGCTATATAGGTTCATTTCCCTTTCAATCCCCAAATGTAAAATTAGGATCAATTCTGCCAAGAGAGAGCTATTTGGAGCCATAATCATTAATCAACGGGTATGCCTAAGTGTTGATTCTCCAAAAAGATCATATATATTCAGCATTTTTTAATAACCATGTGCATTCCAGAAACATATTTTATAAACACAATGCTTGCTTGTCTGGTAAGGCAGCATACGATGTTTCTTGCTAAAGAACCAAAAAGCAAAACAGCTATCAAAGAATAACTTGCCAACTGCAGAAAAATCCTGCAAATATGAAATGAATCTGAGACATCTTCCAGTGATAAATGTGAGAGATGAGTTGCAATCTGATTTGATATTTACACACACATCTGAACTGTTCAGGCTAAAATTATGATCATGGATGCAATTTTAATACTCAATGAAATTAGCATTGGTATCAACCACAGCACAGATATAGCAGAACCATTATAAAAAAACATTGTTCAATCACTCTCAATCGCTTATCGCATAAACAGCAATCAGATTTTATCGACACAAACGAACACTTGTGTATAGCTTTCATAAGGATATCATTCATTGAAAGCACAAAGACACAACAGCAGAAGTGAATTATGTCCTTCTACCTTGGCATAATAATCCTTCCAAACTCTACGAGCGATCTGATGTCCTCCCAAATCAAAAGCCTTGAACTTAATTTTTCCAATACTCAGCTCCTCCGAGGTCGGATACTGCGTAGGCTGATGCTGCACTAATCTCTGCATCAAGCCAAAGCTCCAAGTCAAATCAATTCAGCGAGATCCAGTAATATAACAGACAACAGAAAAAGATAGCATATCTCACCTCGTCCTTGAGCATATGAAGGAGTGTAGTTTTACCGGCATTGTCGAGGCCAAGGAACAAGATCTTAGCCTCCTTTTGCCACAGGCCTAGAGAAGCCAAAACGCCATAGAACCAATCGACGAGGAACATCGTAGATCAGAATCAAATTGGTGTGGATCTGGAGGGAAGAATGGTGTGGGTTTGGTTGTTCTTGAGTTGTTTGGGGAGGAGAGAAGCGAATTCGGTGGTGTAGGATGGATCAATGGATCGATCGACTGTAGAGGTGAGGTGAGAGGTTCGCGTAGTCGTCAGTCGACTTTGCGGATCACGTTTAACATTTTGCTCTCTTATAAATTAAATTAAATAAACTAAAATCAATACTAACAATTGAGGTGAAAAAAAACTAATAAATCAATTTCTAATTAAAAAATGATTTTCTTCAAATTATGTTTTTAATTTTATTGTTGTTGATAATATTTTTCAACAATAAAAAGTAAAACTCGAAAATAGAGAAATATCTTCGAATTTGATAGACGAGTGCCTGAAATTAGGGATCTTTTAAACACTGTACAAATACATAAAATAAAATAGGAAAAATAAAATAAAAGACTGGAAAATAAAGTGGTGATCCCAAAAGCAATTCTTTTGAATTTTTTGTCGATTGAATATGCCTTCTCCGTACAGTACGGAATCCTTAAATAACCTCTTGAAGATGCGGTTCGAACCGCTACCTAGTCGGTTACCATAACCACTGTTAACCACCTCAGAAGTTCTCTCCTATTGACACGTGTGTCAACCGTCCTACCACGTCTGACCTTTGAAAACCTCTTGCCAGTTGAAGCTACCCCACTATCAGGAACTGCCTTCTCACCCGATCTGTAGATTAGCTACTTTACTACCCGACCTTGTACTGTCTCCATTTTGTGTCCGACCTTATTATGCCTGACCTTTGGACTTGATTTGACTTCAATGCCCGACCTCCTTACGCCCGACCTTTGGGATTTGTGCCGACTAGGTCCGACTTCAATGTCCGACCTTACTAGGTCCGACCATGTCCGACTTCAGTACCCGACCTCATTACGTCCAACCATTGGAATTGACCCGACCAGGTCCAGTCTCATTATCCGTCCGACCTTTGGAATTGACCCGACCAAGTTATTGCAGCTATATTTGGACTTTTAAAAGCCCATTAGACTTTTTGAATAAATCTTAATCTAATTTGGCAGATCCATTTTCAAAAATTCAATCCACCATTTTTTGTGCTCAACAATTATATATATATTCTATAAATTGGTCGCTATCCTTGGGCTGTACTCTGGGTGAATTTGGAACTAATTTAATAATTTACAGATTAGGCTCAACAAAATAATAATGCTTGACAGACGAGACTTGAAATCCATTAATATTTAAATACTATATTCGTCTCATAAAGCACGAAGTTTTTAAAATATTAATATTATATTAAGATAAAGTAGAAATAAAGATAGAAAGACGGATACAAAGTAATGAAATTTGTGTAATATATTGTAAATTGGAAGGGTATTTGTAATGTTACGTAGACCGTACAATTACTTAAAAAAAAAATAAATAAATATTTTATTATTGTTAAGGGGCGGAGGGAGTATTAAGGATGCTACAATTAGCTGATAATTTTTAGATGTTAATTTATTCCGATTAGCTGATTCCTTTACTGGTTTGACTAATTGATTCAGTTACTGGTTTACTAAGTGATTCAATTAGTTGTTTATATTAAAAAATTTATACGACAATTAGGACATTGATATGTTATATTTTAATATATTTAATTTTGTTCATTTCAATTTAAAATTTACGAGAATTTTTGTTATTAATTATTGAAAACTATATAAATGTTATAAAATATTTATTTTTATATTTTAAATTTGAGAAAAATATTTTTATTAAAAAAAATAATAATTTTTTTATTGAAATTGCATAAAATATAAAATAATAAATTTATTGTATATATATTTTTATTATGTTAATTATTGTTTATTAACTTTTAATGTAAAATTTATATAATACAAAATATATAAATAAATTAATAATATTTGTCTTTTATATTTGATATAATTTTAATAAATTTATATATTTTACAAATAAAATGATTATTGGTAATAATTAATAATTATTATTATTTTAAATTTATAAAAATAAAATTATAATTTAATAAATAATTAATAAATATTGCAATAAAAATATATTTATATGTATGAAATATTTAATTAATTTTTAAGAGTAAATAAGGAATAAACAAAATTGAAAAAGCTTTTCCAAAACATGAGTAGATTAGTTTTTTTGAAAATTAGCTTTTTGGATAAAAAAATTCTTTCAAAAAACTAATTTATCAAACATATAAATTAGTTTTTTGACTGATCAAATAGCTAAAAGCGGTTTAATAAGCTATAAAATTCTTCAAAAAGTTGTTTTCTAAATACCCCTAAGTCTAAAGATCGAACAATTCAATTCACCATTATATATTTTTATTAATTAATAAAATATTATTATATTTTAATACTAAAAATTCAAAAGAATACTTTAAATTTATAATAGACGGAAATAGAATTATTTTTTTAAAATCTTATATTTAAGTTTCATTAAAAAAAAATTTATTAATTTTAATTTTGATTAGATATATATTTCTTTTATATGTAAAAATATAAATAATAATATTAATTCATTAATTGTATGGTTTGATTAAAAAATTGTATAATAAGTTTAATGAATAATTAAACTAAACATTGAACTAAAACATAAAAAATTATAAAAATATTACTCCCTCTGTTTCACATCATTTTTCTATTTTGTTTTTAAAATATAATTATACATTTTAATCTTATTTTATATTTTAAATTTTTTTAATTTTAATTAAACTATTTAGTTATTTTTTTAATCTACAATTATTTTTATTATATAATAATATTTTAACTAATATATTTTTTAATTACTTACTAGTTTATGTTTTACCTATATTCTCATATCTACTGTAATATGTTCATAATTCATGGGATGGAGGAAGTAATATATTGAATAGACTCAACCCAGGACAATTATATAATTTTATTTGAACACATAAGCTAAAATAATATTATTTTAATAGTAAAATGAGATAGATAAAAAAATAAAATAAAATAAAACAAATCGTATTATAAAAAATTTATTAAATAATTGATAAAAAATTGAAGTGAATAGAAAAAATAATAATAATTGATTGGTTATTTATTGTTAAAGTACATAAATATTTTTACTTTTCACAAATTATAAAAATATTATTTTATATGTATTTTATAAAAACAAAAGAAATCAAATTATCTTACATATTTTTATTTTTTTATTAACCAATAAATTTTTTAATCTACTTATGTCATTTGAAATGGTATAGGGAGAATATTAGATAGTTAAAGTATGTAAGATGATTTTAACATACTTGTCATTTTTACTTTATATACATGTATAATGATATATTTGTAATTTATGTAAAAAAAATTAAGAATACTTTGATATTAAATATGTGATTATTTTTACTATATAGAAAATAAGTATTTTTAAATATGACGGAAAAAAATAATAAAAATATATACTTTCAGCTGGGAGGAATAAAATATTATTATTTTTTATATTATTAATAATTAATTATTTTAAAAATTAATACTTTCTTAGTCTTAGCATAATTGAATTCTTTTATTAGTGATATGATATTTAAGAAAATGATGTTTAATGAGTTAATAATATTAAATTATGGTATTATTATATGTATAAAGTAAATTTAATACATATGATTAAAAATTTTAGAATACGTATTTAAATATTTTAAAAATTATATCGTAATAAAAAATATACTTAATATGGATATCATTTTGTAAAGAATAAAATATTTTGTAATATAAGTAGATAAAAAATTGGCAAAATAGCAAAAAACTCCATCTGATTTTACGAATTCGCTGAAAATCCTACTTGTGCTTTTCAAAATGTTGCACACTCTCCCTCTCTTTAAATTTGACTAACGGACGATAAATTTTATCAGATTTGACCGTTATACCCGTATTTATATATTTTTTAATTTATTTTTCTCTCTTTTGTTATTTCTTCTTTTGTTCTTTCTTCTTCTATTCTCCCCAACTTCTTTCTTCCATCTTCTTTTCTTCTCCAAATTCTTCACACATTTTTTTCCTCAATTTTTTTCTTATCTTCCAATTCTTTTTCACCCGATTCTTTCTTTTATTTTTATTTTTCCCAATATTTTTTTCTTCTTTTTCATCTCCAATTATTTTTTGAAGAACGAAGAATTGGAAAAAAAAAGAAGAGAAAGAAGATGACGGAAATAAGCGGCTTTCTCCAATTTTTTTTTTTTTTCTCTATTTTTTTTTTCAATTTTCTTTCTTCTTTATTTTTTCTCCATAATTCTTCTGTACGCCCGTTGCAACCAACAGTTCTTTCTTTCTTTTTAGATTGATTTCTTATATTTGTAGGTTTTGCAAAATAGAAGAAAAAGTATTTCTGGGTTTGATAAATATTTCTGGATTTGATAAATATTTCTGGATTTGGTAAAAGAAATCGACAGTGAATAATAACTTATGCATTCTCGTCTTCATCTCCATGTCCGGTAGATTAATTGTGATAAATTTGGAATCGGTTTCAAATTTGGTTGTGTTTAGCGGATTTAAAATGAAAAAATAAGGAATAATAAGTTGTTGTAAAAAGTAGTCATTAGAGTATTTTAGTAATTTTATATAAATATATCACTTTTATGGATCAAAAATCGTATTTCAGACGCGTGATATACCATCGCCGTTAAATCCTAACGGATGGGGGATTTTTTTTGCAACATTTTGAAAACCACGAGTAGGTTTTTGGAGTTTTAAAATCACGAGGGATTTTTAGAAATTTTGAAAAATAAAAAGTTTTTTGCTATTTTGCTTAAAAAAATACTTGTATTTATTTATAATTAACATAAACTAAATTTATAATAAACGTGAAATTTTAAATATAGATAATAGTAATATTTATTTTTTAGAAAAAATATATAAATAAATGACTTTTGAGTGAATCCTACGTGATTTGCGATATTAAGGATATTAAATTGATTTATATTTTAAAATATATTTTATTTTAACAAATTTTACCCAAAATAAAAAAATGTTAATTGTTACGAGGACGGACAAAAAAAAGAAGTGTCTACTGTTATAGAATGGAAGGAGTATTATTTATTTATTTTTATAAAATACTTCCTCCTTCCGCTAAAAATTGTCCATTTTAGTCCGACACGGAGTTTAAAAAATATATATATTTTATTAAAAAAGTGATAGATATTTAGAGGTATTTTTGGAAATTTAATTAGAAATAAACGTAAATAAAAAAAAGAATGTAATTAAAAAAAAAAAGAATGTAATTAAAAAAAAAGTAAAGTTATAGTAAATGTAGTTGCCTTTCTATATATATATATTTTTTTATTTTTAAATTTATTTTTTATTTTTTATTTTCTAGATGTTTAAAAAAGTTATTGTAAATTATAAATGTAAAAAATTATTTAAAATAATAAAATATTTGAAGAATATTAATAAAAAGTAAAATTATAGTTAAAGTAAAAATAGATCTGAATCACCTTTTACCAATCCAGTTAATTAGGACAATCATAGAAAACCTCTTCCTCTCCCTGTACATACCTGAATAACTCAACATAATTTAGAATCTAAATATTCACGTGACAATATGTACCTAAACTTACTAGTTTTTACCTCTGTTAAAACTTAAGAAAAAATAAATAAATAATTGAATCTAAGAACTACTTCCGCTTCCACTTGCTCTGCCGACCCCACCGCCTCTACCAACATCCAACCACGCCTCGCCACGTGTCCACCCCCTTCACTGTCAGTCTGTCAGATGCTCCCTCATCGTAATAAAAGCCCAATCTTACAATTAACCAAATTGAAAAGGTCAGGTTATATAGAGAGGGCCCCTAACTCCTAAGTTCAACAGACAAAATGAATTATTTAAATTATATTGCCCAATTTATTATTATTATTATTATTATTATTATTTTTTATCTATATTATCCCTCAGTCGACTTTAATTTCAACTTGCACATTATTTCAGTCAGTGAATTAGTGCACAACATACTTTTATCCTTTACTTGCAACTTGCTCTCCTTTATTAATTTCCCATCCCTTCAAGCCCAAACAATCCAACGCCCTCATCATCACCGTCCATATTACATAGCTGCTTTCGTACGTCATCGCGGATCAGATCCACGCCGTTCATCGTCTGGACCCACCTTATGGGCGGGGTGGATCATTTCTGGACTTGGGATCCCGGCCCCCGCGTAGCATCTTTTGTAACCGCTGCCCCTCCATACTCCTGCGTGTATATATAAACCACGTTTCTGCGTTCACATATTCGTACCTTGAAAAAGAAGTTTTTCTTGGCGGAATAATGGGCAGAAACGGTGTCGGATTTTTTTGCTTTCTTCTTATTCTCGGCGCCGTTGTTGTTGCTGCGGCGGCGGAAGGACGACGGCGACCATTCGCCTGTGAACCGCATGATTCAGTTACCAGAACTTTACCATTTTGTCGAACTGATGTGCGCATAGAAGATAGAGTGAAGGATTTGGTAGGTCGATTGACATTGCAAGAGAAGGTTAAGTTGCTGGTGAACAATGCCGCCGCCGTGCCGCGGCTGGGGATTAAGAGCTACGAGTGGTGGTCGGAGGCTCTTCATGGAGTATCAAATGTAGGTCCAGGGACAAGGTTTGGGGGCGAATTTCCCGGTGCTACGAGCTTTCCGCAGGTCATCACGACAGCTGCTTCTTTCAATGAATCCTTGTGGGAAGAAATTGGAAAAGTAAGGTTTCTAATAACTGTTCATACTCTGTTACTTCTGATGAGTTTTTTTTTTTCTGCAAACAATGAAAGATGGTGTTGTTTCGGGATGAGCAGTATTTCTGGCTTTTCTCTCACTTTTTCTGTGTCTTTCTGCGAATCCCGAAAGTTTTTGTGAATAGGTTTTTGGTTTATACAGCAGCAGAATCTTTGCTTTGTGCATTGGGTCTATACATTAATAGCATACGATAAAATTTTATTGTGATATATATATATATATATGTTTTTGGAAAAAGCAAGATGATAATGCAATATCATTTCCATGTTGATGGACGGCATTATTTCTCTTTTCGGTTAGAAATTTGATTGCACAATGGAAACCTGCACGTTCATTGCTTTGGATACATTTAATTGACAAATGACTGCTTCCATTCACTTTTTACTGTTTTTATTTTTGTTTATATGTCATTCACTTTTCACTGTTGATACCATGCTGTGGGGCACCCTTGGATTCAACACCCGATGGATCTACACCGTTCATCTGGTGGGCTCAAAATCGTGGGGTGTTGGATCCATCTGTATTTTCGTCTCAAATCTCTTTCAATACAGCGGATTAGGAACATTTATGATCTGGTTTTGGTTTTAGCAAATAGCTGTCTGAAACAAGCATCACGTACGGTACTAGGATCAGTAAGTCATAAGAACATAAAAGTTGCAGTTGCAACAAAACCAATAAATATGTATATATGTTGTTGTTGGTTTACTTATATCACTGTCAAATTACTATTCCCTAGTGTAATCACGCATATCAAAACAATGCATGTAATACTGTAATCGAATTGAAAATGATATCCCTTCGGAAAGGGAAGTATTTAATAGTCAATCCGATAAGTATCTGAATTTTTCTTTTGCAAGTTGCTGTTGGGGGGCAATCCGATGGTGATTGGTGAGCGTATATATTTTGGGTCATAACGTGGGCCATCAATCTCTGCCATGGATGTCAGATTTGGTCATAATTCTAAGTGGATTTTGGATTGTTTGACAAATACAGGTAGTGTCAGATGAGGCTCGTGCTATGTACAATGGCGGGATGGCGGGATTGACCTTTTGGAGCCCGAATGTTAATATATTCCGCGATCCGAGATGGGGGAGGGGACAAGAAACTCCCGGCGAAGATCCAGTGGTCGCCGGTAGATACGCCGCAAGCTACGTTAGGGGGTTGCAGGGGACGACGACGGACGGCGACGACCGCTTGAAAGTTGCTGCGTGTTGCAAGCATTACACGGCCTATGATCTTGATAACTGGGGCGGCGTCGATCGATTTCACTTCAATGCAAAGGTAAGCTGTTGTCTCTGTTTGTCTCTGTATGCTATATATATACATATGTATGTAATAGTCTGTTTTCTTGTGTGGGTGCAGGTTAGCAAGCAGGACATTGAAGACACATTTGATGTTCCCTTCAGAAGCTGTGTGATGCATGGGAAGGTAGCAAGCGTGATGTGTTCCTACAATCAAGTTAATGGCATACCCACCTGTGCTGATCCCAAGCTTCTCCGAGGAACTGTAAGAGGGGCATGGCGTCTCAATGGGTACATACCTTACCTCATATATGTTGATGCTTTGATCACTTGGATCAAACTTTTCAACTTTTTCAATTAAATTAGGTATATAGTTTCGGATTGCGACTCTGTTGGGGTGTTCTACGATAGTCAGCACTATACATCCACTCCAGAAGAAGCTGCTGCTGATGCTATCAAAGCAGGTAACGATATAACTCTATAATCTGCTGAACAATTGATTGAAAGATTGAAAGATCATCTCTGTAAATTTCTTCTTGCATGAAATCCATCCAATCCAATCCAATCCAGGTTTGGATTTGGACTGTGGGCCATTTCTAGGATTGCACACAGAGAATGCAGTACAAAGAGGCTTAGTAAATGAAGCAGAGATCAACAACGCCCTGTCTAACACAATTAGAGTTCAAATGAGGCTGGGAATGTTCGATGGCGAGCCGTCACTTTCAGGGCATCCTTATAGCAATCTTAGCCCCAACGACGTCTGCAACCCAGCCAATCAGGAGCTGGCCCTGGAAGCTGCTCGACAAGGCATCGTCTTGCTCAAGAATGAAGGGCCTGTGCTTCCTCTTTCCCCTCAAAGACACCATCATCCCATTGCTGTCATCGGACCTAATTCAGATGCTACCGTTACAATGATAGGCAATTACGCTGGTAAGAAGTAAGATCGTCAGCATTACATATATATAAGTAGGGAGTTTGTTCTAAATCGATCATTTCTAATTAACCAGGTGTTGGGTGCCGATACACTAGTCCATTGCAAGGTATTACTACATATACCAGGACAATTCATCAGCCGGGCTGCGCTGACATAGCCTGCCGCGATGACAACCTATTTGGCAGCGCCATTGAGGCAGCGCGTCATGCAGATGCAACTGTAATGGTGATGGGCCTGGATCAATCCGTCGAGGCTGAGTTCAAAGACAGGGCAGGATTACTCCTCCCCGGACGCCAACAGGAGCTCATTTTGAAAATCGCCGAAGCCTCAAAAGGCCCTGTTATTCTCATACTCATGAGCGGAGGTCCCATTGATGTGTCGTTCGCCAAAAGCAATCCGCGAATTGGCGCCATCTTGTGGGCCGGTTACCCCGGCCAAGCCGGAGGAGCTGCAATTGCTGACGTCGTGTTTGGTCATCACAACCCCGGTGGAAAGCTTCCGATGACATGGTACCCTCAGGACTACTTAAACAACCTGCCCATGACAGCCATGGCGATGAGGTCTGATCCACAGAGAAACTACCCCGGAAGGACTTACAGGTTCTACAAAGGGCCTGTAGTGTACCCATTCGGACATGGAATCAGCTACACAAGCTTCGCGCACGTCGTAGCTGATGACACCCCAAAGATCGTACCCATCCCTGTCGACGGGCGCCATCACTCCAACCTTACAACAATCTCCAGCAAGTCGATAAGAGTGACGCATGCTAGATGCAGCAGGCTGTCCCTGATTCTAAACATTGATGTGAAGAACACGGGTGCGAGAGATGGATCTCAGACGCTGTTGGTGTTCTCGACACCTCCGGGAAGCGACCATTGGATGCCGCATAAACAGCTGGTGGCATTCCAGAAAGTGAAGGTTCCTGCAAGAGGGCGGCGGAGAGTTCCGGTGCACATTCATGTGTGTAAGCACCTGAGTGTGGTGGACAGGGCTGGAATCCGGCGAATCCCCATGGGAGAACATGCCCTGGACATTGGAGATGCCAGACATTCTGTTTCACTCCAAGCTCATACTCTTGGAGTCATTAAATCATGATCAATGGCATTGGCAGCTGCAGGTAAGCCAGGTATACTAATAATATCGATCATCGTCGACGTCGATCAATTTATACAGGAGGCCCAGTTTCTATAAAATCCCAGAACTTCAATTCAATTTTGCAACAAGCAGCAAGCATTGGGGATGAGAGGATGGATTGGATTGGATAATGTTATTAGAGAGTTGTGTTGTGATTGGAACAACATTCATTCGTTAGATGATTTGATAAAGATTTGTTCTGCTCTTCAAGCTAAGGGTGAAAAAAGTGTTGTGAGATTATTAGTATTATTATCATTATGTAAACAGGAAAATTGTGCAATGCAAATATGCAAATGCAATGATATTATTATTATTATTATTTTTTGTTTATTATTATTATTAATTAATTAATTAATTAGTGCATCCTCCAATGAAATGGAAGCAGGCAGCTGATATCCAAGAACAAATTTGAATGGGTCAAAAATTCAAGATTGAAGTGTATGTATGTATATGAATTATTTGGACTTACTTGTTATGCTTTGGCGTGCACGATGACGACTACTGCATTCATCTGTTTTGAATAATAATAATAATAATAATAATGGATTTGAATCTCACATGTGTACATGCACAATTTAATACTACGAGTATATGTATTTTGGTCAATTAATTAATTAGTAAGACTACTTCCTTTACTTATTCTTGAATATAAATATATATATATACATAGGGCCCGAGTTTTCTTAGGCTTCAACAAAAAAAATTAAATTATTGACCTTATAAACATATTATTAAATTTATTTGTAAAATAATACAGACGTTTCGCTGCAAGATTGCCATTTAATTTTTGCTTCATTGTAATTGATATTAAAAATATCATTATATTTAAATAATTTACTCTAAAAATAAGAGACTAAAAAACATATTCTTATATTTATTTTCTCGATTTGTACTACGGCCTTGATATAATAATTAATATTCGAATATCAACGTGTGGAGTAATAAATTCTATAAAATAAATTTTATTTTAATCATATATCAAATTAAAAGGCATAAGCACAAAGTGTATTATTAATGAAAAATAAATAATATCATGATTATTGTAAAATCAATAATATAATAATAATAACAACAATACTAATAGTAATACTATTAACTCCAAATGTATTTTTTATTGCAAAATCTTTTTACAAATAAAGATAAATTTAAGTTAAATTTTAATGGACAGGACGTAGAAAAAAAAAAGTTATTAAGATTTAATTTTAGAATTTGAATTGAATTGAATTGGATAACCGTAAAAAAAAAAAAAAAAAAAAAAAATAATAATAATAATAAAATTAAAATCTGAAATTTAATTTAAAACTTAATACATTTAATCTAATAATAGTAATGATCTAAATTCTATAATTATGGCCCTCTTAGATTTCTAAAATTATGGGTCCTCTTACACTGTGTGTTTGTTTGGGGAATTGGACTGGATTTATACTATTCATTCAATTTTTTTCCCTTCAAAAACATCAAATCAAACACCTATTTTTTATTTTTTACATTATACTAAAAAATCAATTTTACATTCAAAATATCACATCAACACCTATTTATATCACATCATACAACTATTCAAATTCAAAATTTTTACTGTTCAAATCTCAACTCAAAATCCAAATCTTCAAACAAACACACCAAGGAATCCTGAGCACTTGCTAGCTCTCTTAAGAGCCCGACCATATATATTATATTTTATAAATACAAGAATTGTACTTCTGCCACTTGAAATTATTATTTTACCCTTTCTCTTATTTACATGTTTGTCCTTCCCTTCACCCTTAGGTGAAATTGGTCTATGCATTTTTGCTTTTTTTAGGTGAAATTGATCTTATGCATTTTTGCCTTTTTTTACTTACATGGTCAGTAACTAATTAATTTAAACCATAATATTTTTTTATTACATGTAGTTGGTTTACATGGAATATATCATGACTTTACTGATGCTTGTAGATGTTTCATTGCTTACATTTGTGTTTGTTTGGGGATTTGAATTTTGAGTTGGAATTTGAATAGTAAAAATTTGAAATTTTAATAGTTGTATGACGTGATATAAATAGGTGTTGATTTGATGTTTTAAATATAAAATGATTTTTAGTATAATATAAAAAATAAAAAATAGGTGTTTAATTTGATAGTTTTTTTGGGGGGAATAGGATGAACAGTGGATTTAAAATACAATCTCCCAAACAAACGCACCTTAAAGAAGATTGGTAATAATCATATAACATATCTTCTTTTTGTAGAATTTACTAAAAAGATCCTTTCGTTGTCATCCGCATGTTTTAAATTTTTTGGAATAGAAGATGTTTGTCTTCTTATTTTACTTAGGGTGCGTTTGGCAATTAGCAGATAATTTTTACGTGTTAGCTTATTCAATTAGCTGTTAGTTGTTAGCTGATTCAATTAGTTGGTTTGACTATCTGATTCAATTAGCGGTTTGTATTAAAGTGTTTGGTAAAATAATTGTTTGACATTAGCTGTTTATATATAAAATGATTATTAAGGACATTGATATACTATTTTTTAAAATATTTAATTTTGTTCATTTTGGTTTAAAATTTATGTGAATTTTTGTTATTAATTATTAAAAATTATAAAAATATTATAAAATATTTATTTTTATTTTTATTATTTAGATTTGAGAAAATTATTTTTATTAAAAAATAATAATTTTTTATTGAAATTATGTAAAATATAAAATAATAAATCTTTCGTATATATATCTTTATTATGTTAAATTATTGTTTTAATATATATAAATAAATTATTAACCTTTATTTTTTTTATTTGATTTAGTTTTAAAAATTTATATATTTTACAAATAAAATAATTTATGTGTAATAATTAATAATAGTAATTATTTTAAATTTACAAAAATAAAAATATAATTTAATAGTAAAAATATTAAAAATAATTAATAAATACAACTATAAAAATATATTTATATGTATAAAAAAATAATTAAGTTTTAAAGGTAAATAAGGAATAACCAAAATTAAAATGAAAAACTCTTTCAAAACACTGGGTGAATGAGCTTTTCAAAAAATTAGCTTTTTGGAACTCTTTCAAAAAACTAATTTAGTTTTTTTTACTGATCAAACAGCTAAAAGCTGTTAATAAGCTATAAACTACCCTCTTAAGCTGAAATCATTTTATGAAAATAGGCGTCTATGGTTTAGGCTTAGCTTTCTTTACTTTCAATTTCACTTCCAACCACTAGCATTCCTGATCTCTCCAAGTACAGGAAGTGACCTAAAATTTGCATCACGTTTTGAGTTAAATGTTAAGGTTGTTTTACTTTGATTTTGTTGCAATCATATCGAACTTGTTTACTTGTTTTACATGTGTATGTATATGTTTTATACGAAATTATTTTTATTGTACACACCGGCGCAGCATCGCGCGCGCCGGGTTCTAGTATATATATATATATATAATGTTGAACAATTTAAATAATTAATTAATTAATAAGCAAAACAAAGGAAGCATATGAGCTGCATGCATGCATGCTATCACATGCAATGCAAATGCAGATGCAAATGCAAATTAAATGAAATTAAAACAAGGTGAATTTCATTAGCATTTAACTGGCAATTAGCCAGCCCAAGCCAAATTAATGGGAGGCACGTTTTCCCCCCACATGGGACACGTGAAATTTCATCCCAAAACTCTCAGTCTGATCGATCGATCTGCCCAATTACAGACAGACTTAGCTTCTTCAAATCCCTTTATTAATTAATTTATTTATTTATTTAATAATTAATTATTATTAATCTCTCTCCAACCACTTGCACACACTCTTACCACAATCCTTATTATTTTTATTATTGATAATATTTATATGACACAATCTTTTGGAAGTCACAATATGCACAATACTTTGCCTCCTTTCGCACCAACATGTCTTTACATTAGGGTAAATTTCACTTTAATTAAACCAATTCATCTAATTCTAATCCTAATGCTAATCCTAATCCTAATCTTAATCCATGTATCTATATACTCCCTCCGTCCAATTTCTATTGTCCTAAAATATATTTGCACGGTTTTTTAGGTAATTGTCTTTTTGTTATGAATTTTACAAATTTGTCCTTAATTGTATGGTAGAAATGAAAAGTAATAAATGGATGAAGGGTAAAAATATAAAATTTGTGTTTAAAAAAAAATAGAACGTCCCAAATAAAAAAGTAGCACATTAATTTTTGGACAGATTTTCATCAAATGGCCAGCCAAGACTAGGAGTAGCAGGTCATTAATAATAATCAGTCAGTCCCCTACCATCTCTAATTACCAAAAAAAAAAAAAAAAAAAAAAAAAAAAAAAAAAAAAAAAAAAAAAAAAAAATATTTTGTCAAATACTTCATCCGTCCATTAAAATTAGTCCATTTGGCCCGGCGCAGAAATAAAAAAAAAATGAATATTTTATTAAAAAGTTGATAAATAGTTTGGAGTATTTTTGAAAATTTAATTAAAAAGTAAAGTAAATGAAAAGAAAGAATGTAATAAAATTAATGATATTTGTTGTAAATAAATGTTGAATGGAACGTAATAATTAAATATTAATCTGCTGACTTTGACAAAATTAATATTAGGACAAATTTAGTTGACAGGCTAAAAAGAAAAATGAGAATAAATTTGACGGAAAGAGGAAGTATTAATTAATCATTATATGTTTTTTTGGGGATATATACACTTATATATATATATATATATATGTATATTCATTCCATTTATCTACCTACCTATGATATTAGAGTTGATACAAGAATTTAACACAAGAACTGTTTCTGGTGAATTCATTAATTCAACTGCCTAATGCCTATTAATTAGCCTCCACACACATACATATATATATATATATATCCCATGGATCACCTGTCCCAAAAATAAGTTTTATCTCTATATACATAGTGTGTATATATACACATGTGTGTATGTATAAAATATTACTCTATACATACATATATATACATAATGTGTGTATGGAACAGTGGGACAGAATTCTGTATGGGACAGACGATCCCGTCCGATATATATATAGTTGATGTCTAAATGAAGAATTTGAACCCTTTTGGTTACCATATTTATGTTTTTCTTTTTTTAAAAAAATTATTTAATTAAATGATTTTTATATTCCATTCAATTTTTTTTTTTTTTTTTTTTTTGCATATAAAGTAAAATATTAAGAAGGTAAGTGAAAGCACACATCTTTTTAATTAATTTAGTGGGATATGAATTTACAGGTGTTGTAACCATATATATATATATTGATGATGTTAGTTAGTTATTTGATTAATTATTATATATTAATTTATAGGCCGAGCCGATCATGGCCAATTATTGGAACTCAAATATAGACATACATATGCAAGTGCTAGCTGCTGGTTGATTAAGCCATTGAAAGCAACCATGGCCATCTATTAATTAATTACTTTTATTTATTATTTGATGACGTGGAAACCCGCAGCCACTACTCGAAAGTGCGCACTGGCTTCCCGGCCGAACCTAATATTCTACTAATCAGGCCCGACGGAAAAGTCACATTTGAACTCATAGCTTCACAGTCACAAATTCAACCCTTACACCACCGGACCGTCCCTTATTTATTTGATATATATATATATATTTCTGGCCCACAGTACAATTATTATTATCATTAATTTATGGAGAGTATTATACATTTATATGCTATTGTCACACTTCATGCGTTGATTTGACACTTGGGACTTTGGGTTTTATTTGTATTCATTTCATGCCTGCCAGCCAGCCGTCTTCAATAATAATATTAATAATAATAATAATAATTTACAACTGTATATAACACAAAAATGATTAATTTTGAAATTAATAATTTCTCGTTATAAATAGATAAATAATTAATAAATGGCAAAATTGCATAAGACGGTCTGTCGATTTGATCATATACTAATTTTGCGTGTCAATACCGCATATGTTTAATTAAATTAATCCTAAAAATTTTAATTTTGAATATAATCATTTTAATTAAATAGATAGGTTAAGTCGATTAAGAGTTTGTGATTAAATTTAGCAATGCTCAATTAGAAAAATTCAACACGCTATTCACTTTGATCATTTGAGATTTAAATCAACATCTTAAATTTAGATGTTGAATTTTGACAAGAACAAAGAAAAAGTAAAAAAAAATATAACAAACCGAAGAAAAAGAAAAAAGAGTGCAAATTTGAAGGAAAAAAAATGAATAGAAAAGAATTAAGAAAAAAAAAAGGGAAAATAATGAAGAAAATTGAGGATAACAAAAAAAAGAATGAAGAAAAAATTACAAACTGACAAAAATAATAATAAAAAAAAAAGAAAAATAAGAAGTCAAATAAAAAAAAGGCCTGAAAAATATACCAAAATAAGAAGAAAAGAATAATGAAGAAGCAATAAGAAAACAAATTGGGTAAATGGGTAAAAAAAAAAAAAAAAACAAAATAGAGAAATTAATAATAATAATAATAATAATAATAATAAAAGAAAGAAGAAGAAGCAACAGTGGACTTACTAGATTTAAGGTAAAAATTAAATATTAGTGTGTTTACTTGTGAAATTTTGATTTTTAATTTTTTTTTTAAATATTAAATTAAATATTTATTTTTTATTTATTATATTATTTTAAAATTAATATCAAATTTGAATCCATGATCTCTCGATCGTAAATTCATAACTGATCGTAACTTCAATTTTACATCGCCAAACTATTTTTTACGTGATAATATTTTTATTTTTATTTTTATTTTTTAAGTGAACTTATGCTGTTTCGCTTAAATAAATAAATAAATAAATTTAAAAGATAAGGTGGACGCCATGCAATGCATCATGCATGTTTGCATTGCAGCTGTGGATGATGATCCAATCGATCGCAAATCTTAATTACTGCTGCTGTAGCCTATAGCTGTCTCTCTCTCTATATATGTTATGTTTTCATTAATTCATTGCCTTCCTACCATATTTATATATATATATATATATCAAAATATTAATTTCATATCTGATAAATGACTTTCATTGAAAACAATTGCTAGCTAATAAATACCACAATATAATGCAGTACTTCCTTCTAAATTCCTTAACAATCTATCTATTTTTTTATTTTTTTGTCTGTTATATAATAAAAATTTTTTATATAGTAATTGTACTATCTACTTAACATTATAATTACCCTTTCAATTTATAATATATTACACAAATGTTATTACTTTTATATTATACAGTACTAATATGGTTAATTTAATCTTTTACTTTTATTTCTACTTTATTCCAATATAATATTAATATTTCTAAAACTCCGTACAAAAAACAAATAAATTATAGATATAAGATTGAGGGAGTATGAGCATAATTGTATCTTATCTTTCTTTTTTATTTTTTACTTCACTCAAATTTTACAACAGTTCTCGAATTCAAATTGGAAAAATTGAATAATTGTACAAGGGTGTGTTTTGTTTGGGGATTTGAATTTTGATTTAGAATTCAAATAGTAAAAATTGAATAATTGTATAATATTATATAAATAAATAATGATATGATGTTTTTTATATGAATTTGATTTTTAAAAAAATAAAAAAATAAAAATTTAATTTAATATATATTTTTTTAAAAAAAAATAAATAGTAAAAATTTAATTAAATAACACATCAAAATTCAATATTACATAAAAATCAAAATATACTTGTTTATTACTCTCTTTATCCATGTCCATTCTTTCTAATTTTGTCAGTTTTATATAATTAATATTTTTTTAAAAAAATAATCATATTTTAAAATTTATAATTTTTTAAAATTTTAATTAAATTATTTAGTTATTTTAATTTTAATTTTTAATTATATAATTATTTAGTTATTATAGTTTATTTATCTTTTCGTATTTACAGTAATGTAAATATTTTTTTGTTAAAAAAAGAGAGTAATAATATTCCTCCGTCCGGCTCCACGGGTATCATTTACCTTTTACGTCATTATAATTAATACTAAAAATATTTTTATATTTGTATAATTTTTTACACAAATGTTATTGTAATTATATTATAAGACAAAATATTTTTGTCATTAATTTATATTATGTTTTTATATAATAATTAATATTAAATATCAAAATATAAAAAATAAATGAGATCCTTAGAGCGAAACGGAGGAATGAAGGTAGTAGTAATTTATTTGGAACTCTTACGTAACAAGCTTAAGCTATATATATATATATATATGCAACACGTGTTGCGCGTAGAGCAAATAATAAATTGGAAAATTGAATGTAAGACAAACTCTCCCACACATCCATATATTTCAAATCTGTGTTTATATTACATAAATAAATGTAATTATAAGTATATTTATTTATATTATAATTGAAAATATTTTGTGGATAATTTGAATGGTAAAATTCTTCCGTATAAAAGCATTTATTTACATAGAATAAACCAAATTTAAACACCTCTGAAAAAATAATTTATAAATATATAAGTACTATTAAATTTATAAAAAATAAAATAATATTATGGTATATGTAGGTTTGTAGAGGTAGCGTGTAGAGTACAGAGATGCAAAAAAAAGGATGGCATGGGCATGGCAGCATCTGCTGCCAGCGAGGCACTTCATCATCATCATCATCTCTCTTCCTTCTCTCTCTCAGGTCAAAGCTGGCAATGGCTGTTTAAAGCCCTTCTATCCCATTTACTCCTCTCACCTATCCAGTTTCTCTCTCTCTATTTCTCTCTCTAGAATGAAATCCTCCTCCTCCTCCTCCGTCGTGTCTGAGGCGGTGTGATCGAGGTTTTGAATGGAGATTTCGGATGCTAATTGAAGGACGGATTTGTTGATGGTCGATCGGTGCAATTGCAATTCATCAATGGCTGTTGCATCCCCACCGCCTCACGCCGCCGCCGAGAAGAGGCACTGGTGGCTCACTAACAAAAAGGTGAGCGCCGCGTTGTTGAAGTTAAACCTAATTTTCTTCCGCTTGGTGTTGCTTTAATAGTTTCGGAATTAATTCATTGTTGTGTGGTGTTAGATGGTGGAGAGGTACGTGAGGGAGGCGAAAATGCTGATTGCGACGCAGGAGCAAACCGATATTGCGGCGGCGCTAAGGCTCCTGGAGGCGGCGCTTTCCATGGCGCCGCGTGTGGAGGTTGCGCTGGAGCTGAAGGCGCGCTGTTTGCTGCATCTCAGACGGTTCAAGGAGGTAGCCGATATGCTGCAGGATTATATTCCCAGCGTAAAAATGGCGATCCCCGACGAATCGACGTCGTCTGGATCATCGGATAATTCGTCGACTCAGTGGTCTCGGGAGCGAGTCCGGCTTCTTTCCTCCACCGGTGAACCGTTGAATGAGAGAGAACCTGCTTGCAAGTGCTTCTCCGTCTCGGATTTGAAGAAGAAGGTGATGTCTGGACTCTGCAACAATGCAGAGAAGGAGCAACAATGGAGGTAATTTCCCTGCCTGCCTATTCAATTAATTAATTATTTGTTTGAATGAACGGCTCTGGTTGAGCCACTTACTGGTGCATCACGCGAAACCATGGGCCGCCATTAATGAAGTCTCACCTAATCATCCGCGATTTCCCTTCGCCGTACGCAATGTCAACAGCATCAATGGTTTAATTATAATATTTCAATCAAATTAATCACTCCAATGTTCAATCAATCGAATGATCTGCTCTGACTTACACATTTCATCTTCCATACAGGTACACAGTTTTAGGCGAAGCATGTTGCCATCTAGGTTTAATGGAAGATGCGATGGCCCTCCTCCAGACCGGAAAACGCCTCGCCACCGCCGCATTCCGCCGGGAAAGCAATTCCCTGACCGACGACATCTTCTCCTTCAACAAATTCCCATTATCAGGTCCTAAATTCATCACCAACCAGCCTTGTACCACCCCACCCAAAACAGAGTCCGAAAGCATCTCCCACCTCCTCTGCCACATCAAACTCCTCATCCGCCGCAAGACTGCCGCCATCGCAGCCCTCGATGCTGGCCTCTACTCCGAGGCCATAAGACATTTCTCCAAAATTCTCGACGGCCGCCGCGGCGCTCCACAGGGATTTCTAGCCGAGTGCTATGTTCGCCGAGCATCGGCGTATCAATCTGCAGGGCGAATAGCAGAGGCAATAGCAGATTGCAACAGAGCTCTGGCGCTAGAAACCTCCTCCATTGAAGCCCTCACCATCAGAGCAGCATTGTTCGAAACCATAAGATGTTTGCCTGACAGTCTCCACGATCTGGAGCATTTGAAGCTCCTCTACAATTCGATCCTGCGCGATCGGAAGCTCCCCGGCCCCGTCTGGAAGCGTCAACATATTCAGTACAGGGAGATACCTGGAAAGCTCTGCTCCTTAGCTGCCAAAACACAGCAACTTAAGCAAAGGGTAGCTGCCGGCGAAACCGGGAACGTAGACTATTATGCATTGATCGGATTGAGAAGGGGATGCTCCCGATCAGAACTGGAAAGAGCCCATTTGCTGTTGACATTGAAACACAAGCCTGATCGATCCTCGAGCTTCATTGACAAGTGCGAATTTGCTGATGAGAAGGAGGTGGATTCAGTTAGAGACAGGGCAAAAATGTCTGCTTTACTTCTGTACAGATTGATTCAAAGAGGGTATACAAGTTTGATGTCTACAGTCCTGGATGAGGAAGCCGTCGACAAGCAGCGGAAGAAGGCCCCAATTCCGGGGCCGGCGGCAGCCGCCATCAGATCTGATCCAAATAATGAGAGGAGTGATGAGAACAGCAGCAACAAGGCTAGCATTGCAACAGCAGCAGTATATCAGGGAGTGTTCTGCAGGGACCTTGCAGTGGTAGGGAATTTGCTTTCCCAGACAGGTTTTAACCGTTCAATTCCAGTGAAATATGAGGCTTTAAGCTGCTGATTAAGTTAAGTAAGTTTACTTTACTGTTGTGAGCATAATAATAATAATAATAATAATAATAAATGATGATGATGATAGTAATAATTGTTATTATACCCTGTGAAAAGTATTTGGAATGGAAAGGGGGAAAGAGGGAATGTGATTCTTGGGGGGAGGTGGTGTAGTGTACAAATTGGAGAAGTTTCTATTGCTATGCTACTACTGCACAGGGGAAAATTTTGTTGCTAGTACCAATCCAATCCAATCATGTCTTTTCTGTTTTTGTTTGCCTTCTTTTTTCTGGTTTTCTATTTTGGTACTTTGTACAGATTTTATTTAAAGCACTTGTGTGTGGACATGTGTTTTCTGATCTGAATTAATGATAATAATCTTGGGTGTTAGGCTTAGAATTGGTTGTGGGTCATTTTCTTTCTTTGTTATCAAATGGGTGATGGCAAGAATTTGGGAGTGGACATCTCTCTCTCTCTCTCTCTCTCTCTCTCTCTCTCTCTCTCTCTCTAAAACAGAGACATACACATGTACACACAAGTCACAATGGATGTGGGGGTTCTTGGCTTATTCACATCTGGTGGTGGTTGTGTCTTGTAATAATGTGTAAATGTCAGGTAGGCTTAGGCACATCCACACAACTACCAATGACCTGACACACCACTAAAGCCAGTCTTCTTCTTGATTCTTGATTCACATACACACACATTGGCTATACCCACAAATCTTACACTAGTTATTTATTTGATGCCCCATTCCTTCCTAAGTTGTAAGAACAATAAAAAGTGCCCTTTTGATTTTATTTGTCACAATGCTTTCTTCTTCTATTCCCAATTTCCCATCCCTGCCTGTCTGCCTTGCTCTTTTCAATTTCATCACCACCATAGCACATTACATTGATATAGTTTTGTTTAGTTGCTTTGAACATGTTTTCCTTGTGCCCTGTTCATACCTTTTTTTTACACTTCAGGTCAGGTCAGGTCATCATTACTTTTTTACCACAACCCCACCCCACCCACCCCTGAGAGGTAAACAATCATAACCTGGCTGTTGCTACAGCCTCTACCAAGTACGTATATGTAATGTGCGATGAATAAATGTGAAAGTTGAAAATTAATGTTGTGAATCCAAGAATCATCATCATGGAAGGTGTGGTGGAACTTATTATTATGTTTGGCAGCCATAACATAATTGCTTCAGGGCTTCATCATGTCAACATTTTTTGGATTTTCTTTTGATCTTTCTCATCAACTAATCTTAATTGTATAAAGTATAAACCAATTAAAACTAGAGAGCCAAAAGAGAGAAGAGAGGAATGGGATGCTCAAATCCTCTTGAAAAGTCTCTTGAATTGGATTGGATTGGATTGGATGGGATTCCAAGCAAAGTGGCAAACTTTGCATTTTTAATTAGATTATTATAAATATATATATATATATATATGCCAAACAAGTCAAAAGCAAGCCCTAATATCGATGCCATATCATCTTCATCTTACAAATATTCTCATTATTTAGTTTATTTAATGGCATTTTTAATTTCCTAGTGTGTGTAAGAACTTAGATGTGCTAAAACCCAATTTTATTTCTCTATAGTTTTCCACTTTGAGTAGACACAAATGTATAGAAGTTAGTATGATGAGTGGGAGTGGGAGTGTGGCTTCCCTTGGAAGTTCAAATTCAAATTGGTGCTTTTTATATAAAAAGATTGTTCACTTCCACCCTAATCAACAAAACAATGATTCCACATACTTGAGTTTGAGGCATTACTTGTACACTTAAATTCTATATAATACATATATTCCACTCCCAATCTGATCTGATCTGATCATGAAATAATCACCACTCCCACTTTCCAACTAATGCTGCCCTCCCCTACTCATAATGAAAACAAATGTAATAACAAAAAAATGAATAGACAAAGAAACATGATGCAATAATAGGGGAGGGATGCTTTGCTTCAATAAGACTGCCAAATAAATATAAAAGATGTGTAAAGTGTCACGTGAAGGGAAATTTTAAAGAAAGCCAAACCAAGCCAAGGATCTGCTGCCCAAAATGTCACCACTGAGCTAGCTGTCTCTATGGAATAATAATAATAATAATAATGTTATAAGCCCATCTAAGTTTTTAAACATTTTGATTAATTTATTTATTAAACAAATGGTAGAGAGATTAAGTAGTTGCAAGTTGCCAATTGCCAGTTGCCAGCCAACTAGAGTAGAGTAGGATACAGATACAGATACAGATACAGAGGATTATGAATATGTAATCATATTCACATAAACATAGCCAAGAAACATAGGATTCTCTTCCAACCATTAACATATATATATATATATATATTTGTGTTTAGGTATTAAACTAATCCATACCAAATATTTTTACATGTCTTTATTAGTGGTAGCCAATTGGTGTTGTGCAATTTTTATCACATTTTCAAATGAGCGTGGTCATAATATCTGTAATAAATAGTCAAGAGTACCCTCCCGAGTAGCTTGTACAGCTACTGCCCATCACACCACTTACTTATTATAACACCATATTATTTCCAGGTTCCATCCCTCTTTCGCATTTCATTTCATGAACTCCCTCCATCCATTAAATTAGCCCATTTGTAGATCAAGAAAAATTGAATATTTTATTAAAAAATTAGAAAAGTAAAAAAAATAATTTGAAGTATTTTTGAAAATTTATTTAAAAATTAAAGTAATTGAAGAGTAAGAATATAATAAAGAAAATAATATTTGTTGTAAATAAATATTAAATAAATGTAATAATTAAATGATATCAAAGTTAATAATATAATCAATTTAACTCATAGACTAAAAGAAAAGTAAGAATTAATTTTGCTGAGTATATATTCGAAAGATGACTTAAGTCAATGAAATTAAAGCCATTTCCACCTATTTTATTGGATTTGGTTTTACATTTTTCTTTTTCTTTTTTATTTCATACGATTGGATTCAATCAAATTACTAACTTCAAATGGGCTGCTAGTTGTTTCACATTAGATCCATTTATTAACTTCAAATTTTTCAATATGAAAGACTTGTATTATACTACGTTTGTTCCTTGTTTACTTTTTAAGGCATTATATTTAAATATTAATTATTATATCAAAACATAATATAAATTATTTTATTAATATAGTATCTTTTAATAGAATATTTGTACAAAATAAATTATACAAATATAAAAATTATGACTAAAAAGTAAATATAACCATTCCGAAGGAAGTATTTAATTGTATTTGAAATTCATTTACAATAGTGTTAAATTTAAATTTTTATTTAAATGGTATTATGATGTAATTTTCATAAAATAAATAATATATTTTTATTGAAAACAGTATAGAATAAACAATATTAATTTTAGTATGAAATGTTAAAAGATACGAAATGTTAAAAGAAGAAGAAACGCTTGATGGTGCATACAATACAAAACAAAATACTGAGAAACCTGTTGAGTCCATCCATGTTCAAGACCAAGTTCAACCTTTGTTCCGGCCACACGACCGGCAAAACCAGTCGTCGGCCGGAACACTATCGAGCGGAGGATCGAGGCAATCGATGTGCACAGCGACACCACACCCTTCGACGCCACGCTCGTCTCCGCATATTAGCATTTCCTCTTCTCTATCGCGGCGTCCGCATGCACGACAAGCTACATCATCGTCGTCGCCGTCATCTTCTTCATCGGTGCCAATGTCGCCATCCCGCGGCGGTGCTTTCGCATGTCCGGCACCACCACCGGTATCGACGTCCTCTTCTCGTTCCACGCAGATCATGAGGTTCTCGAGCGACTTCTCGGCCCAAGCATGAGTATTATATTGTACGTGCTTGTCGAGAGAGTAACCGGGCTTGCAAACGTAGTCGACCAAATAATCAGCCACGACGCAGGGCACCTCGTGTCTTAAGAACTCCTGAACCCACACATCGACCCGCGGCATTCCCGCACTCACGACCGCAAAGTCGATACCCCCCGGCTTCAGAAACCGTGTGTAAGGCGGCGACGTCGCTAATATTGTCCCGTCTCCGGCCTTCATCACGCGCTTCAACGTATCCTGACAGCAACAAACATTGATAGCGCATAACGATTGAACAACTAGATCAAATAGATAATAGAGCTGACAAAAACTAACACGACACGACAATCCAACACAAAATAATTGAATTTGGATCAAAGATTTCAATCTGATTATGTATATGAGTTGACACGAACCCAACACGATGATAAACATGTTGGGTTAGAATTGAAGCTTTCAACTTGAACCCGACACAACAATCCGATTACAATATATTAATTAATCCACATATTAATTTAAATTAAGTTCAATTTTAAATAATTCAACCTAATTCATTGTACAAATTACACTAAAAACCAATAAAAATTAACATAACATGACAACACGACAAACAATAATTGATTTTAATTAAGAATATAGGTCAATACAAACCCGACACGAACCTAACACGAATCGACCTATTGTCAGCTCTAACAAATAGATATTCGAGCAATGAAGTAGCTTACCAATGGAGGGGCAATGCATTCACCATAGATGACAATTCGCATCCCATAGAATGCTCCATGGCCGGTTCTCTTCTTCAACAGGCGCCACTTCCTCGGCGCCTCTAAATTGATGGCGCCGTCTTCGCTCAAGCACTTCTTGTGCCATTCGAATTGTTCTTCGGGCAAAAACCGCCCGGCCTCGCTGCTAGCTGTTAAATAATCTGTCTTCAAAATCCAACTGCACAAACAAACGAATGCATATAGTTATGAGGATGGAACTTGTAGTTCTTATGTTAGTTAAAAAGTACCTTCCGGATGCTGCAGCTGCGAAGAATTTTTCAGTTCTTCGTACTGGATCTGGAACAACAAAATGTGTCGCTTGATACGACCAATTGTGCGAATCACGGCAAACTCTTCCTTTCAGCCGCTTTATAAGCTTTTGAAAATCCTTTCTTTGCAGCCTATGGCCACTCAGTATAAAACATGCAGGTTCTGATTTATTCTCGAGGTTTTTCGCGGCTTGCAGATCGCCAGCAGTGTGTTTGTTAACTTTTGATACACTTTTCGAAGCATTTTTATGAGGTTCGGATGCCAATTCCTCACATGCTCCAGCATCATTCTTCAGAGTTTTCTGCTTGTCTTCTTTAAGAGGCTTGTTTTCTTTCTCCACATCGTCCGCGCATTTCGTTTTCTTGCGTGCTCTCATCTTTGTTTTACCAGTCTTCACTGATACAGCTGCTTCATTGCCTGAGACTGCTGCTTTATTTTCATCTTGTTTGTGTTTAAGTTCACTTTCTTGCACTTCACAGCCAGGATCCTTAGACTTTTTTGTCTTAGATTTCATCAAGGGGCGTTTCTTGCCTTTCGTTGATTTTTTCTGTCCAGCATCACCAGTAGGATTCGATTTGATCAATTCAGTTCCTCCAATGCATACGTCCTTCTCAGCTTCCTTGCCATCTTCATCTTCAACAGATTTTTCAACCTGCTCCTCCATTAGCAAAGTTTTTCCATCAGCTTGGCTTTTTGAAGGGATGGCATCTATACCAAACGGTGATGCTTCAAATTCAGCAGATATCTCTTTGCCATGCTCCCCATCATACTCATTTTGCAAGCTCTGGTTGGGAGCTTCTGTTTCGTCACCAGGAAAGCAATCTTCATTGGCTGCTGGAGGAACCTTTTCAACCTTGTCGATAACAAGGTTATTGCCACTGTCTTCCATTCCTATTGCTCCATTAATATCTGTTATGCCCTCATCCTGCATTGCTGCTTTCTGGAGGTTAGTGGTTCCTTTATGCTTTGCAGCCTTAAAGGTAGTTGTTCGGGAACCCAATGTTTTCTTCTTGGCAAGCATTTTTCTTTTACCTGGTTTCGTCCGGGAATCACTTTGCCCCATCTTTGAGTCATTCAAATCAGCATGATCCTCCATTTTCCCCAAATCTGAATTGGTTCCCGGCGATGAGCGTTTAATGGCTTCTATATCATTCCGAACCATCTCAACATTATTGGCTACGATATCAATCCTGCTAGAAGAATGCTCCTCTACATCCACATTTTCTGTGAACAAGCTTTTCAATCCTTCGGGAGAATGTTGAGGCAAATGATCATTGCACTTCTGTATGTCCCTTGTCGCAGCAGAAATGTTCGAAGCTTCTTTAGCAGCACATGAGGCTTCCTCTCTAATGGTGCAGCTAACAATTTTCGGAGAATTATCGCCAGGTAGACAATGTGAACCATAAACAGAGGATCCAGAAGCCAGCATTTCATTAGCCTTCACGGCTAATTTACTTCCCACTGATCTTTTAGGTTCATGATTCAACAATGGCGATTTTGAACTGCCACGTGAAACAGGTGCTTTCCCTTTGTTGCTAGCAGTTGTCCCATCGTTAACGTCAGATGAGATTCCTTTTATAGGTGTTTTTACCAAAGCATCTGATCTATCTTGAACTCTCTCCATGGACAGGTTGAACCCACCGCTAATCTGGCGCTTGCTTACATTCGAGGAAGATGGACTACCTGAATTACTCTCGATTCTCAATGGGAGACCTGACTTGATAGGAGGGCTCCTATAATAACTCTTACCACTGGATTTGGATACCTCATTGTTAGGAGACTTCTTAACACTTCCAGATGCTGAAGCTAAGACGTGTCCAACCTTTTCCAAAACCACCGTATCATCCCCAAGGTTTGACAGCACTTCAGAAGGCATTTTCCCAGGACTTCTTGGATTACCAACACCAGCCATTTCAAGACCCTTGTTGTGATCTTCGACTGATAATGATGTTTTACCAAAGTCAGAATCTTTTCCAGAATTTGGGTGGACCATGCTGAAGTCTCTAACATTTGCCAAATTTCGAGATGCACTTAATGATAAACTTTTTCTTGAAGCTTCCAGCATCGCCAATGATTCACCAGAACTCTTATTTGCAGCACATTTGCTTCGAGGGGATATTATGCTGTTCCTCTGCATATTTGTTTTAGAAGCTACATCTTCTGTTTCATCTTCTGAATCCTTGGCTTCACTCTCCATCTCCAACTCAAATCCACTGTGGCCAGAGGTTTAGGTCATGAGTTTATTAATTAGCATAACAAGCCAACTAAACACTAGCGTACGCATCTTAAACCTTGAGAGCTCAATTTGAGACATAACATAAGATTTTTAATGCATATCAAAAGTAGGCTGTAGTAAGTTGGGATAAATAGCATGCAATCTTGAGATCTCACCTCTTACAGTAGTCAGCTTCAGGAAGAATCTGCCAAGCCTTCAAACTGAAACCACAACGAAGAAAAAACAAAAAGCATTACAGATTGAATGTAAAAACAAGTTGGAGAAACAAACATTGCCTTTAAAGGCAAAACAATCATGTGCATATGAGATATTAACAGTGAGAAGATCAAACTTTGAGCATACCAATCTTCCAGCCAACGATGGTTAACTAACTTTATCTTCATTTTCTTGGCAAGCTCATACTTCTCCCCTATGAACAGAAAACTCTTAAAGTGAATGTGAAAATGATATATGAAAATGAATGAGGTCATAGAACAGCACCATACAAAGATGTGAAAAGATCTACCAGAAAATGTAACCATAATTCATCCTATTAAATGACAGCTTGGATTTTTCATATTTTACAAGTATAAAAAAGACAAATACTGTGATACATAATCAAGTGCAAATACAAGCAAGCTGAACCTTAAAAAATCAAAACTGAAACCCACCCTCAAATTTGTAACATATAAGATGAGTAACCTTCGTTGCCACTAATGGTTTTGAAAATTTTGCACCCATCAAGGAAACCATTGTCTGCAGAATAAAGGAAACTAAATTATAAGATGAGATTAAATATAATTAATTGTATCTCGAAACGATTAAAAATCTCATTGTGGTTGGTGTGTAATAAAGGAGAAAAAGAAGCCGCGTTAAGAACCATAATATCTTCTCGATCATGTCGTTGATATCCCGTTAAGCACATAATCAGTGAGTTGGCACCAGGGATCCCATTCAAATCTTTTACTGGTGCATATATGACCTGTAAAGAATTGTATGAATATGGAAACCAAACAGCTCAAAATTCATCAAACTACAATTCAAACAATGAACTAAGTGCATCAACATTCAAATAGGACAAGAATACAAGTTACTGAAATGTTCTATAAAATGCTCATTATATAAAGTATGGATGTCCAACGAAATGACGACAGAAGATTAAAAACAAGCAAACAAACATTTAGCAATGCCTCCATCTATTCATCGACTTAAATTAGTTCATAGTTCATACAATGCCATACAACATATACTGGCCATGATGCCTCTTTATGGCAAGAACAGATTGAAACTCACACCTTGAAAGAGATTAATTTAGTTTGGAAGAACATAAAATTGATAGAAAATTACTATACACAGGTAATTTGTAAATTGCAGAGAAGAATTGCAGTGTAAATTCAACTCGATGCTTCAAAAATAAGTCCCAAAGTGGAAAAGAAAACAAGAAGGGTGGGTTTATATATGTTTTGAAAATATTTTAGAATTTTGTGTTAGTTTGAAAACAATAAAAAGTTGAATATAGAATAAGCTTCGATTGTGATATTTTAAACATATAAATAATGTCTTTTCAAATATATTAAATAAAAAATAAGCTTGAATGTGGTATATTTTAGATAGCAAAATTCAGAAATATAGCAGCAAAACAGTTATAAAATACTTGGTAAACAGATGCTAATTATACATCACTGTCATCACAGTAGACACAAAAGTATCAACCATTTTCAAGAACTCACAGAAGGGAGATCAACAGGTATTCCCAGATCAAAACTGTGATCAACCCATAGACCAGTCACCAATATCTTGCCATCGTTTCTAGCAGCAACACAAATGGGATCATCCTGCACCACCAAGGATAACATCAACAGCAATTTAATATTCATATAACTAGGATACAAGAAATCAAAATCAGCAAAGAAAGGCACACTCAATATTTTGTTTCCAAATGCAGTGATCATATTCACTAAATCAAGCCTATTGACTCTATACAGGCGCTATAAGTCCACATGTGGCAAATATCTAAAATGAAAAGGAGTATTTTCAGCGAACTTTTCATCCAACTCACATATACAAGCTTGTCAACAATAACATGACTACAATCCTCGTAATTCACAGCACCAAATCCTCCGCCTTCCAAAAGCTTCGACCGAACCTGTAATCCAAAGTCACGACAAAAATCAAAGATCGACTTTTGGCGATGTGGGAAAATAACAATAATAAATGCAGAGCACGGCACTCCAAAAGAAATTCTATCAAAAGAAAACCTCGTGTTCATTAATGGAATCAAAACCGAATAGAATAAAGCGGACACCACCAAAGGCCTTTGGGTGGTCGTCGTATGCTAAAATTTGCTTGCTTTCCATCACCGGTCTCCAATACAAACTGCAGGAAATTGATTCACTGAAAGAAAAAACTGCCGCTAAAGGAACCTTATGCAAATACAACTAGCTCTTCTTCTCCGAATAATTTTTTTCTGCAAGTGAAACGTTTATTCATTCTGCAAAAGCTTCTCGAGGAAGAAGACCAAGGGAAATTCGCAAATTTAGAAAACCGACGGGGTAAAATTGGTAATTCACATGGAAGGAGGGATTTATCCTCTTGGAAATTCGTTTTGATTTTGGTGCATGGCGGGAGTGCCAAAATGTGGCGACGTGTCAGTGTTGAACTAATGGGCTTAATGGGCCCATTAAAGTTATTATATCCAGCCCTATTAGAACAATTAATTGGGCCTATTACCCACCTAGGCAGTTAATATAATTTGGGGTTGAACCTAATTAAACCCAACCTCCAAAATGGTAAGGTTAGAACCTACCCGTTTTTTTCACAGTCATCAGAACTCCACTCGTGCAAAAGGGCAATTTTATTTTAAGTTAAAAAGTATTTAAAAATTATATTATTATTTTATTTTTGGTTGTTTTTATTTATTATTTATAACATAAATTATTTTTTATACTTATATTTTAATTTTATAATTAATATACATTTTTATAATCCCTCAGTCCCATAGCTATCCATTTACCTTTTGTCGTTATTTTACTTAATATTAAAAATATTTTTATATTTGTATAATTTTTTATACAAATATAATTATATTAGTATTATAAGACACTAATAGAAATATTTTTGCAATTTTTCCTTAATTTAATTTGTAATACATTTTTGATATAATAATTAATATCTAAAGATCAACATGTAAAAAGTAAAAGATATTTATTAATGGACAGAAGGAATATTATACATCATTTATTATATTCAATAAAATGATATTATATACTCCCTTCCAAATCAAATAGGGTCGTTTGAATTGACTTTTAAAAGAGTTTTTGGCTTCTACTTCTAAGAATAAATAGTTAGTATCGATTTACATTGACTTTTGTCCAAATATAAAAGCAATTTTTTAAGATGAAAAGTGTTTTTTTTTTTTAGAATATAATAATATAATATAATATAAAAAAATAATTTATATATTATATTATACTAAAAATTTAAAAATATAATTAAACTATTATTTTTAATTTATATATTATATTTGGATTAAAATTTAAAATTAAAATACCAAATTTAAATAGGAGTATATAAATTTTGTAATTATACTTAAATTACTAAATAATTTATGAAATTTTAAAATAAATTCTAAAATACAAATAATTTAATATTATATTGTAATGTTATTTTTAATTGATATATTATCCTTAAATTAAAATTTTAAAGTATAAATAATCAAATTTTAAAAGTATATTTTTTATACTTTAATTTGAAATCTTTAAATATAATTTATAACATTTAAAATAAATTATAAAAGTGCTATATAAAAATACTATTATATTAACAACATGTCATTTTAAGTAATTTTAATAGTTAAAAACACTTAGTTTAAAAAAAAAAAAAAAAAACTGTTTTTATAATGATTTATCCAAATACAAAATTTAACTGTTTCTGCTTTTGGCTTATGCTTATTCTACTTCTGGTTTTGGCTTCTGGCTTCTATTTATTTTTTAAGTCAATCCATACGAATCATAGACCCTTTAGGGTTTTGCAGAAGATTAAAAAATAATAGTAATATTTTATTAGTTAGTGGAAATGTGAGAATTTTTTTTGATATTTTTGTCTTTTGATTTTGCGTAAAAAGTAATTGTAAGTGTTTGCCAAACAAACACACACTAAGAGTATTTTTCTATTAGTGTATTTTTTAAATATAAAATAAATACTTTAAAGTGTGACGGAAGAAAATAATAAAAAGATACTTTGAATTGGAATCGAGAGAATATTCATTTATTTAGGGTGTGTTTGTTTGAGAGATTTTGTGGGATTTCTACTATTCCCACAAATTTTTTTCTTCAAAAACATCAAATCAAACATTTATTTTTTCATTTTTTATATTATACTAAAATCAATTTTACATTCAAAATATCACATCAATTATTATTTATATCACATCATACAACTATTCAAATTCAAAATTTTTACTATTCAAATCTCAATTCAAAATCCAATCCCTCTAACAAACACACCCTTAAAAGATCAAATAGTTAAAAATTTATAAATTTAATTTATTGATATAATATTTTTATAAATCAAATATATAAAAATAATAAAATATTAATGTGTTATTTATAATTTTAAAAATAATATATAAAATATAATATAAATAAAATATTTCTTAATCTCAAATGTAATTGGAGATGATTGACAATAATTAAAAAATAGAAATTATAATTATAGATGAATAATGTAACTCAGCAAAAATAGAGAAATAAACTGTTATTTTTTAATAATAGATTATGAACGGTCTAGGTGTGTTTGTTTGAGGATTTTGGATTTTGATTTAGAATTTTAATAGTAAAAAAATTGTATTATAATAGTTGTATAATGTGATTTGAATAGATATTGATATGATATTTTGAATATAAAATTGAATTTTAATATAATAATAAAAAATGATGAATAGTAAAAATCGAGGATAAAATATTTCATACGAACACACTTTGTGTATGTTTGTTTGAGGATTTGGATTTGAATTTGAATAGTGATACGATATTATGTAAATAAATATTGATACGATATTTTAGATTTAAATTTAATTTAGCATAATATAAAAATAAATAATAAATAATTAATTTGATGATTTTGAAAAAATTTGATAAATATTAAAAATTTGGTAGAAATCATTCAGACAGTTGTTTGTTTGGGATTTGGATTTTGAGTTTTTGAATAGTAAAAAATTTAAATTGAAATAATTGTATAATGTGATATAAATAGATATTGATGTAATGTTTTGAATATAAACTTGATTTTTTAGTATAATAATATATAAAATATTTTTTTTTAAAAAATTAAACGAATAGTTAAAATATTTACAAATTCTTCAAAAATAGTTCATGGACTTTGATAGTTAAAAATCGCGTGCGTTAAATGTTCATATTATATGCGATATTCGATTGATTTTGAGTGGATTCTGCCTAATTTTGGTGTGTATTGTTTATTTCCGACATGCAGGAAAGAAAAGACAAATTTGGTGAATTTGGAGAAAAATAAAAGAAAAAAATCAGCATTGGACAATCAAATTAGTCATGATCATCACTAATCACACTCTCTTCTTGACATGAGAATGTAATTAAAGGCCCAAAAGTCCAACAACAAAATAATTAGAGCAAAAATTAAATAAAAATGGAGGATCACAAGCAGATACTAGAGGAGAATGGCTAGAATCAGATACACAGAGCACGAGACTCACAAACTCATAGATCGCGCAGTAGATATTTTTCTACTTTAGGGATGATAATGTTTTGGTTCTTTTGTTTTGGAGATTCTTGACTTTCTTTATAAAAGTTCTTTTTAATGATCAATATTTGTCTAACTCTAAAAATAACGTTTGTGATTGTTAGATTGATTAGATATTTTAGTACCGATATTTAAATTAGTCTGATAATCTAAAGTCAATTCAGGTAAGATATCCGTAACCGTAATTGTATTTGCACTTGAATAGATGACAACCGGGTTGAATAGTTCCTTCCCGGGGGTTAGACAATCAAATTTAATTGCTCCTCTTAGGTAGTAATTGTTTTGAATTGGGTTTTTCTAAATTAGAATGCGATTAGACAATATTTCTTTTTGGCGCACCTAAGTTTATTTGCTTAATTAGGGGCAGTTAACTGTCGTACCTTAATTACCTATAAGGAAAAATTGGTTGTCAAAGCTTGTTGATAACTATAACAAATTTATTGATACTTTAATAAGAACTAACTTTATTGAATTAATGATAAAACACAAGTGTCATAACTGTATCATCTTTGAGCCAGACATCCCTTTAATAGCTAGTTATCTCTTAATTTAATTGCTTTGTTATTTTATTTTCATTAGATAATAAAAAAAATTCTCCCCGAACACAAAGGAGTGAATCACACAATCCCTCTGGAGACGATCCCTTCCTCTGTATTACATTAAATTGTGATCACGAAATAAATGAAATATTTGTGTTACGTATGAAATTTAGAATTAGGTTAAAAAGCCCAAGGTAAAAGAAAAATGGGCCTGGTAATAGAGTTGATCGAACTGGCTGAAGGGCACCGTGGGGAACTCAAGGAAAATAGGTTAATTTCTAAGGAGAATGCAGGACGGAAGGTCCTCAGGTCGGGAAGTCCTCAGGTCGGGAAGTCTTCAGGTCGGAAGGTCCTCAGGTCGGGAAGTCCTCAGGACGGAAAGTCCGCAGGTCGGAAGGTCCTCAGGTCAGGAGGTCTGCGACTAGACCAGTAAGTCGGATGGTCTTTAGGTCGAGAAGTCTGCGACTAGACCAGTAAGTCGGATGGTCTTTAAGCGGGAAGGTCTGCGACTTGACCAGTAAGTCGGATGGTCTTTAGGTCGGGAGGTCTGCGACTGGATCAACAAGTCGGGTGGCCCGCAAGTCGGGAAAATTGGTAGTCGGGCCAATAAGGTGGAAGAGTAGTGTTCGGACCAAAAGGGCGGAAGGTCTGCGGTCGGTCCAAAGAGGCGGATACTGTTAAGAGTGGAATAGAGTGATAATGTTGGTCTGCTAAGGACACGTGTCAGCAGGAAAAGGGTTGGCAGACGGTTGAAAATGAGATGTTGTAACCGTTCAGGCGACGGTTTCCAGTACAATTTCTCAGGAAGTATTTAAAGATTTGGATTTTTCTTGAGAGGGCATCTTCAATCAACTTCAACAAAGCCAAGTCAGATTTGGGGATCACCACTTTAAATTTCCAGCATTTTATTTTTCCAGTTAATTTCTTTATGTACTGTACCGTGTTTAGAGATTCCTAATCTCAGACACTCATTAATCAAGTTTAAAGATATTTTCTATATCTTTGAATTTTACTTTTTGTTTGTTGAAAAAATACATCAACAAATTGGCGACCATAGTGGGAGAAAGACAAGATTGTTGATCCTACATTACCAGAGAATTTCATACAACTGAGGTCTGGCCGAATCATCAGAAAAATCAGTATGGCAGGCTCACAACCTCAATCATCATCAGCACCGGTGGGAGAAAATGTT